ATCAGTACTAACACTTACAAGTCAACGGACTTAATTTACCCATCAAAAACGTCACAACTAATAACCCATCAAAAGGCACCGCTTTGATTGACATGGATTAATAAAAGAAGATCAACAATTTGTTGCTTACAGGAGACCCATCTCACTTCACAAAAATGCATAGGCTTAGGATGAAAAGGCTGGAAGAAGATTTCCAGCCAATGGCCCCCAAACAGGCAGGATTAGCAATACTTATCTCTTGACAAAGTAGACTTCAAACCTACATTGATCAAATGAGATAAAGAAGGACATTCCATACTTATAAAGGGGAAATAGACCAAAAGAAAATAATAATTATCAACCTTTATGCACCAATGTCAACGCACCCAATTTCATCAGACATACCCTGAAAGACCTAAAAGCATATATTAACTCCAACACAGTGGTTGTGGGAGACTTTAACACCCAATTATTATCAATAGACAGGTCATCCAAATAAAAAATCAATAAAGAAATCCAAGATCTAAAATATACAATAGATCAAATGGACCTACTTGATGTCTACAGAACATTTCATCCAAATTCTACACAATATCCATTCTTCTCAGCAGTCCATGGAACCTTCTCCAAAACAGATCATATTCTAGGGTACAAAGCAAGCCTCAGCAAATATAAGAAAATAGAAATTATACCGCGCACACTATCTGATCACAATGCAATAAAACTAGAACTCAACAACAAAAGTAAAGACAAAAAATGTGCCAACAGCTGGAAACTGAATAACTCATTACTTAATGAACAATGGGTCATTGATGAAATAAAAGAGGAAATTAAAAAGTTCCTGGAAGTCAATGAAAATGAAAACACAACCTACCAGAACCTATGGACACAGCTAAGGCAGTCCTGAGAGAAAGTTATAGCCGTGAGGCAATATTAAAAGACTGAAAGATCCCAAATCAATGACCTAATGATATATCTTAAACTCCTAGAAAAAAAAGAACAAGTAAATCCCAAAACAAATAGGAGAGAAATAATAAAAATAAGAGCTGAAATCAACGAAATAGAAAACAAAAAAACCATACAAAGAATTAATAAAATGAAAAGTTGGTTCTTTGAAACAATAAACAAGATCAACAGACCCATGGAAAACCTGACTAAGGAGAGAAAACACCCAAATTAGTAGAATTAGGAATGCAAAAGGGGAGATAACAACAAACACCATGGAAGTCCAGGAAATCATCAGAGACTATTTTGAGAACCTATATTTCAAATAAATTGGAAATCTTAAAAGAAATGGACAGATTTCTAGATACATATAACCATCCCAAAACTGAACCAAGAGGAAATTAAATCACCTGAATAGATCTATGAACACAAAATGAAATTGAACAGCAATCAAGAGTCTCCCCAAAAAGAAAAGTCCAGGACCTGATGGATTCTCTGCTCAATTCTATCAGACCTTTAAAGAAGAACTGATACCAACCCTCCTTAAACTGTTCCACGAAATAGACCTGATGGATTCTCTGCTCAATTCTATCAGACCTTTAAAGAAGAACTGATACCAACCCTCCTTAAACTGTTCCACGAAATAGAAAGGAAAGGAAAACTGCCCAACACATTTTATGAAGCCAGTATTTCACTTATCCCAAAACCAGGCAAAGACATCTCCAAAAAGGAGAACTGTAGGCCAATCTCCTTAATGAATACTGATGGAAAATCCTCAACAAAATAATGCCAAACCCAATTCAACAACACATCAAAAAGATTATTCACCATGACCAAGTAGGCTTCATCCCAGGGATGCAGGGGTGGTTCAACATATGAAAATCAATAAACGTAATAAACCACATTAACAGAAGCAAAGACCAAAAACCACTTGATCATCTCAATATGATGCAGAAAAAGCCTTTGATAAGATCCAACACCATTCATGATAAAAGCTAAGAAAAAACTAGGAATAGAAGGAAAGTACCTCACATTATAAAAGCTAGATATGACAAACCTACAGCCAATAATCAGTCTTAACGAGAAAAACTGAACCATTCCCTCTAAAATCAGGAACCAGACAGGATGCCCACTATCGTCTCTCACTCCTATTCAACACAGTACTGTTGAATTCCTAGCCAGAGCAAAGGCAAGAAGAAGGAATAAAAGGAATACAAATAGGTAAGAAGAAGGTCTAAAATATCCATTTTCAGATGACATGATCCATATACCTTAAATACCCAAAAAACTCTACTCAGAAGCTCTTAAACACCATCAATAGCTACAGCAAGGTTGCAGGATATAAAATCAATGCAGAAAAATTATTAGCTTTTCTATACACTAATAATGAACAAACTGAAAAAGAATATACGAAAACAATTTCATTTACAATAGCCTCAAAAAAATAAAACACCTAGGTGTAAACCTAACAAAAAGATATGAATGACCTCTACTAGGAAAAACTATAAACTTCTAGAAAGAGATGAGGAAACTATAGAAAGCGGAGAGATCTCCATTGCTCATGGATTGGTAGAATCAAACATAGTATAAAAATGTCGATTACTCCCAAAAGTAAATATACATGTTTAATGCAATTCCCATCAAAATTCCAATGACATTCATTAAAGAGATTGAAAAATCTACTGTTAAATTTATATGGAAACACAGGAGGTCACGAATAGCCAAGGCAATACTCACTCAAAAGAACAAAGCTGGAGGTATCACGATACCTGACTTCAAACTATATTACAAAGCAGTAACAATAAAAAAACAGCATGTACTGGGCACAAAACAGACATGAAACCAGTGGAACAGAATAGAGACCCAGATATGAAGCCACACAACTATAAGCAACTTATCTTTGACAAAGGAGCTAAAAATATACGATGGAGAAAAACAGCCTCTTCAATAAAAATGCTGGAAAACTGATTAGCAGTCTGCAAAAAAACTGAAACTAGATCCATGTATTCACCCATACCAAGATTAACTCAAAATGGATCAAGGATCTTAATATCAGACCCCAAACTCTTAAGTTGATACAGGAAAGAGTAGGAAATACTCTGGAGTTAGTAGGTATAGGTAAGAACTTTCTCAATGGAACCCCAGCAGCACAACTAAGAGATAGCATAGATAAATGGGACCTCATAAAATTAAAAAGCTTCTGTTCATCAAAAGAAATGGTTTCTAAACTGAAGAGAACACCCACAGAGTGGGAGAAAATATTTGCCAGTTATACATCAGACAAAGGACTGATAACCAGAATATATAGGGTCTTAAAAAACTAAATTCTCCCAAAATTAATGAACCAATAAAGAAATGGGCACGTGAACTAAACAGAACTTTCTCAAAAGAAGAAATTCAAATGGCCAAAAAACACATGAAAAAATGCTCATCATCTCTAGCAATAAAGGAAATGCAAATTAAAACCACACTAAGATTCCACCTCACCCCTGTTACAATAGCCATCATTAGCAACACCACCACCAACAGGTGTTGGTGAGGATGCGGGAAAAAGGAACCCTCTTACACTGTTGGTGGGAATGTAAACTAGTACAACCACTCTGGAAAAAAATTTGGAGACTACTTAAAAAGCTAAACATTGATCTACCATTTGATCCAGCAATACCACTCTTGGAGATATACCCAAAGACTGTGACACAGGTTACTCCAGAGGCACCTGCACACCCATGTTTATTGCAGCACTACTCACAATAGCCAAGTTATGGAAACAGCCAAGATGCCCCACTACTGATGAATGGATCAAGAAAATGTGGTATCTATACACAATGGAATTTTATGCAGCCATGAAGAAAAATGAAATGTTATCATTCGCTGAATGATGGAACTGAAGAACATCATTCTGAGTGAGGTTAGCCTGGCCCAAAAGACCAAAAATCGTATGTTCTCCCTCATATGTGGACATTAGATCAAGGGCAAGGACACCAAGGGTATGGAACTTCATTCACAAGATAAAAGCGAGTACACAGAAGGGAAATATGAGGATAGGTAAGACACTTAAAAAATTAGTTAGCATTTGTTGCCCTCAACGCAGAGAAACTAAAGCAGATACCTTAAAAGCAACTGAGGCCAATAGGAGAAGGGGACCAGGAACTAGAGAAAAGGTTACATCAAAAAGAATTAACCTAGAAGGTAACACACATGTACAGGAAATTAATGTGAGTCAACTTCCTGTATAGCTATCCTTATCTCAACTAGCAAAACCCCTTGTTCCTTCCTATTATTGCTTATACTCTCTCTACAACAAAATTAGAAATAAGGGCAAAATAGTTTCTGCCGGGTATCCAGGGAGTGGGGGGGAGAGGGAGGGGGCGGAGTAGATGGTAAAGGAGGGGTGGGGGCAGGGTGGGAGAAATGACCCAAGCATTGTATGCACATATGAATAATAAAAAAATTAAAATTAAAAATTAAAAAATAAGAAGTACTTCAAATTTTCCTGAACTTATAATTTGATATTCTCTTTTACTCCCTTGAATATACCCATTTGACCTAAATGCCTCATTATTCACTAATTACTGTACAAATTCACAAGTATCTAGTCAAGAAACACTCAGTAACAACATAGCTACCCTTTAATCACCAACCATCCAGTTCAAGGACTCTCCTAACCTTATGACCGATGTATTAGTAAGCATCCAGAACAATAATACTTTTGTAAAATTTAAACCTTCTGATGTTCGTATCTGAAATATTTATTTTTAAAAAAAAGTGGGAAAGGGTATTTATTAGCCTCCCCCCAAAACTCTTTGTTCCAGGATCACTGGTTATTTGCAAGACAGTATAAAGTACTTGGTCAAATGAAAAAATGGAATCTGAGATTAGGTCATGTGCTAAAGCTCATAACTAATTTGATAAAGCTAAAAAAATAAGCAGAACTAAGTTAAGTATTCCATTATGCTGGACTCCAAACCCATACATATAGTAAATCACACTGCTAAAATAGGACAACGGTCTATTTAACTGCTAAGTATGACCACAGACCACTCTTAGGGATATGTGTTAACAAAACAAATTCTTACCTTTTTATAGAAGCCATTATATCAGAATCCAAAACAACTATATTCCTTAGCTTTGCATTTATTTCAGTACTAAAGCCTCATAATCATCTCAGAATCAAGTCCTAAGGGAATAAAAGAATGAATAATTGCTTTACTTTCATTTAATAATTTTTAATTTATTTTTATGAGATTTTATTACCTTCTATCTTAATTTCAGAAATGTTTCGTTTCTGATCTTGAATAAAAATCCGTAAACATGATAATTCTGCTAAAATCTGTAGAGTAATAGTATCTTCATTCATGGATACCTTTAAACCTAAAAAAATCATATTGTCAAACACAGGAAAACTTTAAGTGGTTATCACACGACACTTACAAGGCAACTTAAAATCACCACAAATGACAATATTAAAGTAACCTGATTTCCAATTCAACTGAAACCAAAGATATTCCCTATTGAATTGAGAATTCTAAAAACAATCACAAAAACCTAAGCAAATAAGCTAAAAAAACCACTGCTCCCAGAGAAGAATAATCATCTGAAAAAAAACCTATCAAATGAGATGAAGTAATTACTAGGAGGATCCTTGCCATTATGAGAACTACAAATGCTCACTGCTTTGAAAAAGTAGGTTAAGCATCCACCATCCAAAACTCCCAATCCAAAATGCTCTAAAAATATAACACTTTCTGAGTACCTATATGACACTCAAAGTATTTTAGATTTTGGAGTATTTCAAATTTCAAGTTTTTGGTTTAGGGATGCTCAGCCTGTATTCTGATTAAAAATACATTCTGATATCAACTCAAATTTTGTCTGTCTCATGTTTGTAATCTAAAATAATGCTATTAAATGCATGAACTTCAACATAAATCAAATCTTTCTACTGTATAATCTCCAACTAAAACCAATTATATAATAAATAACTTTTCCTCACCAGTAATCTGTTTCCTTTACCATTATTTTCTAAAATTAACCTGGTATATAATTAATTCTTCTATATTTTAGTCTAGGCAATAGAATTCTGAAGTCAATATTGCAACTTAATAAGTCCAAAGCCTAAAGTCATTGATTTAATTGGCTTAAAAGACTGAATTTAAAAAACTATACCTAATTTTTTAATGATATCTCCTTTGTCTTCAGTCTCTGTAACAGACACTGGGGCTGATTTTTCCATTGGTTGAGGAAAGACATTATTAAGATAATTTATTGTATTCAGAAGAGCTTCAGTATGTAGATGAATATCCAAAGAGGAAAAGTTCACCTACAGAACAATGTTGATTTTAGCAATAGGTCAATTAAAAAAATTACTTGTGTAGTTTCTACAAGTACTATTTTACAAAGAATTCAATTTATTCTATTCAGTTTTTATCCTCAAAAATCTTATAACTATAAGATAGTTTTCATTATAAACTTAAGACAAAGAAATAAAGTATCTAATTTAAAAATAAATGATTATCTACTCATACCTTAATTAGCTGTAAAACATTGTTATAGGTACTTTTCAAGTCAAGCACATTTTTTTCAACCTATCCAAGAAAAAATAAATCTGTTAGAGCATCTTAGGAAGACCTGTGTGTATATAATTACATTATACTTCTAATATACATTTATGTAATTTTTCCAGATGTGTATATTATATAGATATATAAAAGGTAACGATACACTAGGCAAATACATATGTATACATAAATACTACGTGTGTGTATATATGCTATATATATATTTACCCAAACAAGAAACTTTTCACTAGAACAATGCAACTACATTACCAAAACAAAAGAAATTTGTAAGTGTGGCTTCTCTAGCAACTATTTAATAAATGAGGACTCAAAATTGTATACATTTATGGGTTGCCATATGACATTCATGTATGTATACAATGCAGAATGATTAAATCAAGCTAACTTACAGCCCCATCACCTTGCTTGCCAACCATTTTTTTGTGGTGAGACATTTGAAACTTACCTTTAGTTATTCTGAAGTATACATTATTACTGACTAACATCACCCTTTTGTATAACAAAACAAAAACCTATTCCTGAGACTCTCCCTTTTGTCAATAGTTCTCCATTCTTCCCTCTCCCTCCAGTCCAGCTCTGGTAGCCACCATTCTTCTCTATTTCATTAGATTCAATATATAAGTAAGATCCTACAATATTTGTCTCTCTGTGCCTGGATTATTTCACTTAGCATAATATAATATCCTCTGAGCTCATCTAGGTTGTTGGAAATAACAGGACTTCCTCCCCTTTTTCACTATATATAGAGATATATATATACATGTATATGTATGTATGTGTGTATGCATATATATTATATTATATATATATATCTGTTTCCCTATTTTCTTTGTTATTCATTTTCTTTAGATCTAGAACACTTTTACAATCTAAAAGTTAATGTAACATACCAACAAAAGTCTTAAAATAGCTACATCAATAACAGATAGCAAAAATGGTCTTAAAAGTACTAAAATGCTCTTTGGACAATTGTTTTTATAAAGTATTAAAATGTTGTAAAACTTACATAAAAATAACATCAATGAGACCATGGAATAAATCATAAATAGGCCAGAGTACATACAAAACTTCACAAATAGACATATAAATTAGTAAGAATGGAATGAAGTCACTGACAGTAGGAAAATTGAGTAACTTCAGACAATGGTAGAAAATGGAATGAAATAATCATTCTGCATCCTATATAACAATAAATTCCATCAAGACTAAAAATGTGTTTCTGAAGTACCTAGGAAGGACAGTTAATCAAACTATAGGTCTTTTGTAATTAGAACACAGGCTACTTTATTTTGCTATATGAAGCATTCATAAATCACAATAAGACGAATGGAAACTTAAAGTGTTAGGAGTTACAGAATTATTCTTTATTACATTAGAATAAAGATTAAACAAACTATTACAAAACTTCCAAAATTTGATGATAAAACGTCAGCAGATTTACCTATAAGCAGATATAAATGGAACTGCTTACCTTCATGTATTCCAATGTTAACAGATCTTCTATTGTATTATCCAATGTTGTGACCAAATAAACTGGTTTCTTGTTTGCATCTAAAAATAATATTTAAATTACCTTTCAGTAGGAAAACTGAAAATAATTACAGGCAATATCAGCAATTAGAGAATTGAAAAAGGCTTTCCTGTATAAATTCTGGGTCTTGGAATGAATTCTACCCAGTAAGTTTCCTTCTTTATTTTTTAAACTCAAAAAATATAATTTCTCCTCACAATTCTGTTCCCTTCCCTTGTGTCTCAACACTAAAGTCTCAAACCTTCTTCATCCTAAGCAAGAGGTAAGATAAGAAAAACTAGAAATCTGTTAAAGAAAAAACAGTGGTTTTTAGGAACAATGAAAGGGCATGAAGAGAATTCTGGTCCTGGTTCACCGAAACAGAAAGAAAATCATGAGAGCTCTTTCTAAAATCTCAGTTGTTGAGAAGACAAATCAAGTATGTGATACAAGAAAGTTTTTCTATATTGTACCTTAGATTAAAAATAATCTTACCACTATATAACAGTCTTAAGTTACAACACTGTTTCTGTTCAAAACCTGGTTTTCTAGGAAAACTGCCATGGAAGAAACTTTTAAAACTATCCTCATCAAATTACTTATGGTTGGTAAAGTTGGGCAGGTGCTCTACCACTTCAATGGTAACCTGAGCACTAAAGCCGCTACACGTTAACATCTAGAGACTGAGAGAAAGGACAACAAACTAATCATACTGTTCTTGAGAAAGAAAAAGCACCACAAATTCCAGAAGTTCTCCAAACTTAAAACCTTATTAGCCCATAGATCAGCTTTCTACTGTACATGGGAAATCACAGCTTCAGCCCTTAAGAAGACCCGCACTTTGTACACAGTTTGTTTACACATTCACTGATTCAGTACACTATTTACAGATCATTTCTTTTTTATAACTAACTGTGCTACTTGCTCCTCAGAAAACGAGAGCAAAACGATTTTGTTTGCAAGTATTTTCTATTGGGAAAAGAAGCAAACAAAAACTAAGCATAAATATGAAAATTACCAATTGTTGTAATACTTCTGGGTTACCAGGCAACACTGTCAAGTTGGTTTACTTTTCTTTCCAATTATCAAAGCAAACATTTTCTTATTGAAAAAGACATAACAGAACAAAACTGTGTTATTTGCAGCATATAATAGTGTTCTTAGCAAGAGATAACTATAACACTATCTTTAATACTCAAGTTCTCAAGGATTATACAATGAGGACAGAATATGGAAAAAATTATAAATCATATCTCCCTAGTTTCACGCTACACTAATTAAAACTGCTCCCTGCTTTTAAAAAATAGCCAAAGATCTTAACATATGTCTCACCAAAGAAGATATTCAGATGGAAAATAGGCATATACTAAAAACATGCTCCAGACATCAGAGAAATGCAAATTACCACTATATACTTATTATAATGATCCAAATCCAGAACACTGACAACACCAAAATGCTGGGATATGGAGCAATAGGCACTTATTTATTGCCAGCAGAAATGCAAAATGATACAACTACTTTAAAAGCATTTGGACAGTTTCTTGAAAAACTAAACATACTTTAAGTAAATGATCCACCAAACATGTTTCTTGGTATTTATTTACCCAAAGAAACTGAAAGCTCATGTCTACACAAAAATCAGCATGTGGTTACTTAAAATGGATTTACTCTTAACTACCAAAACCAGGAAGAAATCAAGATGTCCTTTCAGTAGGTAAATGGGTAAGTAAGCCATGGTATATGTACCCAGACAATGGAATATTATTCATTGCCAAAAAAAAAAAAAAAACTACCAACCCAGGAAAAGACATGGGGGAAACTTACATACTACTAAGTGAAAGAAGCCAAACTGAAAAGGATACATACTGTATGATTCCAACTATGGCATGCTGGAAAAGGTTAAAAAAAAAATAAATGGAGACCAGTAAAAAAGATCAGTGACTGCCAGGTATCACAAGCCAGAGAGTAAGAATAACTGAAACACAAAGGATTTTATCATAGTAAAACTACTCTGTCTGGTAATATAATGGTGTATACTTGCCACTATCCTTTTGTCCAAACACACAGAATGTATAACACAAAAAGTGAGCCCTAGTATCAGCTATGGACCTTGGATGATAGTTATTTGTCTATATAGGTTCGTCAATTTTAACAAAAACACCGTACTATGGTGGGGAGTGGGCTCTGCATGGGGTGGGGGTATATGGGAAATCTTTATGTCTTCTGTTCCATTAATCTAAAACTGCCCTGAAAATAAGATAAAAAAAAAAACCAAAAACAGGCTGATGGAGTGGCTCAATCCTTATACGCCTGCTTAGCAAGCATGAGGTCCTGAGTTCAAACCCCAGTACCACCAAAAAAAACAAAAACCAAACCTCATTAATATCACCTACACTCATATATAACACTAATGAAATTATACTACTGAATAGTTGTCTTAAAAATTCCCTGCCAAGGAAAAATCAAAAAATATAAGAGACATAAATAGCACCCACCCAAATACCTAATGCAGAAAACAGAAATATTCTCTTTGATGTAATAGATCCACTATGACTCTGGGTTTGTGGTAGGCAGAGTACTATTCCCTTCCAAAAAATAACTGCATACACTCTGATCTCTCAGAATCTGAGAATAAGTTACCTCATATGGTAAAATGGACTTTGAAGATATGATTAAGGGTAAATGGAGATCATCCTGGATTGTTCACGTGTGCCAAATCTACTCCACTAAATTTTTTAAGAGTGGAAGCAAAACGTAAGAGGTGATTAAACAGCTGGCAGTATAAGTTATCTGGTGCCCTTTCCTGATTTTTAAATGTAGGAGGCGATAATGCAAGGACCATTAGAGACCTCCAGGAATAAAACACAGCCATCTGCTAACAGGCAGCAAGGAAACAAACAACCACATGTAAGTGATTTAGCTAAAACCTGAATGAACATGGAAATGTATCTACTCTAATGCCTCCAAAAACCAATTCTTTCTGACACCTTGATTTTTGCCCAGGGAGACTAATATCAAACTACTTCCCTAGACCTTTTTTTTTTTTTAAACTTTAGACATTAAATTTGTTTTCCTTTGAGATAGTAAATTTGTGGTAAATTGTTACAGCAGTAACAAGGAATTTAATGTTCCTACATTTAAAAATTTAAATTGTAATCCTATTTAACTTTCCTTAATGAAAAGAATTATTATTATTTGGTCTCTAGTTTTCCCCAACCCTGACCTACTAACTACAAAAATTAAAAACTATCTCTGCTGTAGTTTTGATGTGGTTTCTCCCCATCCCCAAAGGGTCATGTTTTAGAAGTGTGATCCTCAGTACGGCAGTATTACATGTTAGAACTTTTAAGTGATAGAGTCTAGTAAGAAGTGAACAGATTACTGGGGGCTCTGCCTTTGGAAGAGATTGAGGTAGTCTTGGGGGAGATGTCCATTAGTTCCCATGAGAATAAATAGTTACAGAAGAGAGAGCTTGGAGCCTGAATCACTTTCTGGTTTCCTGTCTCACCAAGTGATCTCTACCATATATGCTCCTGCAATGATAGTAGTAACCAAGAGGTCTTCACCAGAGGCCAAACAGAGTCACTTAGAACTTGGACTTTCAGCCTTTAAAACTATGAGCTACATGAACCTCTTTAGGTATTACTAAGACTCAGATACTTTGCAATAGCAATGGAAAACAAACTAATATAAGCTCAAAATATAGTAGTCTTCTGAAACTACTTTAGAATATAAATGGATCCAAAATTTAAAGACTAAAAAGTATATACAGCAAGTAGTCAAACAATGAAATTAATTCATCTTTTAAAACAAAAATATATTCTTACCTAAGTATTTTGGACATTTTAAGCAGAACTCTTTCAAAAAGGCATTTGCTTTCAAATCAAATGTTCTAATCTCAGCTTCTGTGCCCAATCCTAAAACATCAATTTCCACCACAGGTAGTTCACAATCTCCCACAAGATGATAAAATTGAATCAAAACCTACAGAAGAAATGAAACAGAAAGTACCACCATGTACATCATATGCCTAGCAAAAGTGAGACCCTGAGTTCACACCTCAGTACCATTAAAAAAAAAGTACCTTGATGGAAAACAGGTTTACATACATAGTAGTTATATATGGGTACAGTAGGTATGCATGATATGATAAGTTATGCATTGAAAATTTAGTAGCAATTTTATACTTGCTCAATACAATATGTGCTTACAATGTATAAATAATCATTTTCAAAGGATATGACTAAATAGCCACAAAATATCATCTACCCCACCCCTTCTCTATACTAGGAGTTGAACTCAGGGCCTTGTGTTGCTAGGCAGGTACTCTACTTCTTGAGCCACTCTGCCAGCCTGTTTTGCACTGGTTGTTCTTGCGATATAGTCTCAAAAATAGTCTCTTACACCCAGGCTGACCTAGACCACCATTCTCCTGTTTGCACTTTCCTGCATGGATGGGGATGACAGACATTGTGTCCAACTATTGGTTGAGATGGGTTCTCATGCACATTTTGCCCAGCTGGTCTCAAACCATAATCCTCCTGATCTCTGATTCCCAAGTAGCTAGAACTATGGGCATGAGCCACAGCACCCAGTTCAACCCCTAACTCTCAAAAGAATGAAGGGAAACCACACAGATATGCAGGATAAAAAAAAAAAAAGTGCCTGTGAGCAATCAGACTATATAAATAAGCTATACATATTAATAAATGAAAAAATGTAAATAAACCATAATAATTTTACCACAGTACATACCTCTGCTACTTCAAATCGTATTTTAAATTGGGACAAATTCCTTGAATATTCTTGCTTTTGTAACTTTCTGGGTCGAGTACTTTTAACTCCAGTAAGAATTGGAGGAGACTCTTCCAAAGGACTACATGGCGCATCAAAAAATTCCTCCTCGGAATCTAAATTTCACAGTATTGTTTAAGTCAGCAAGAAAACTGATCAGTAATGTTTTTATAACTTTTCTGAATAAATGCAAATACTATTGAATTTAAAAATTGAATATAAACATAAGAATTAAAGTCAGTGGAAAATACATTACTTTGAACAAAAAAAATCTTGACCAAAATTTTCAAAATGTGATCTTTAACTTAAAGATTAACTTAGAGGTGATTAATGATCACCTTTTAAAAACATTAATCTATTTCAAAATCGCATTAGAAAATTTTATAGCAAATCACAATACCAATGATTCCACACACCATGAACTCTTTCTCTATAAATATACATATGTACATATGTATATGAATTCACATTAAAAACTTAGGCTCAAAAACTAGAAAAGCATTCAACCACTTAATAAATTTACTAAAAGACATTTAAGGAAGCCTAAAATAATCTGAACTGTATCCCTAATAATGTAAAATTGAAATTAAGAGTATATGACCTTATAAACAACATCTCCTCTCTGATCACCACATACAAAAGAAAACATTCCCTAAGAAAAAAAGGGTATCAACATGGCACTTTCTATTACTTAATATTTAGCCTTTTTTTAAAGTATTGAAAATAGAAAATACATTTATTTTTTCTTTCCAATATGCTCATAAAAAAACAGGTATTTGATACTAGAATATTTGAGACTTTTGCAGGTGCATGTAAGAATTAACACTTGATATTTTTCTCGAATAACAGAAAGACTATATAGATTTTACTATTGCAAAATTAACCAAATAACTACATACCACATTAAAATTAGATAGCTACAAAGTTTCAGGGATGTTTTTTAACCTTGAGCACAATAAACTGAGCTCAAGTAATCCTTGGAATTATAAATTCAACATTTTTATAAACCAAAAAATATCCTGCTATAAAATTAACTCCAAGGAACAAACTGTATTATCTTAAAGAAATCTGAGTGAGAAGATCCTGATAATACACAAATATCTGCTAATGTCTATAAGTTTTTTGTATGACTGTGAGAGACCAGACTATACCACTCCAAATTGTACCACTTTAGCATAAGGATTATACTCAACTGATTATATTGAGAAAAGGCATACACAGAAGAGGTTCTGAAGATAGAACGTAAGTTTCCCTTTTGTAAGGAATGTTAAAATTGATAAAGGAAATCTGCCTTGGAATAGTGACTCCCTCTTTGTGCCAGGAAGATGACTTACAAGACATTGCTACCAACGGAGAAGATGCTGACTTTACATGGCAAACCTTACCCTTGCTTGTCATAATTTTCTTATAACATGCCTCCCCAGCCAAGAAGTCCCACTCTTTTCCCTTTAACTGAACTGGAACATAAACCCAAATTTTAAGCACCCTTTTGAATTACTCATCTACTCAGTGTCTTCCATGCACGGGAGATATAAATGTTAGTAAGGTTCTTTTTTTTTCTTTGTTAGAGAACTTAGAGGTTAAAAGGAAAGGACATTTATACTCTTCTACATGGTCATTTGAAGAAAATATGCCTCAAAATGGAAATTATTTTAACTATGTATGTTATAATAAGGAAAATTTCCTTAAGCAGTTTCATTTTTACCATCATCAGTAATGGATGGAAGTTCCAAGAGAGGAATTACTTTCTGTGAAATCTGTGACATTGCCAAAGTAGATGGTTGAGTCTGAAAGAAAAATAATTCACTGTCAATTACCACAAAGACTTTTTTATTCAAAGCTGTAAGACAATTTTGACAAAAAGCCACTCAACACAAATAATCTAAGAAGAAATCAGGTCTAATTTCAAAAAGTAAATTATACAGACTTTAAAAAGTGGTTTCACAATTTTAAGGCCAGATATCTATTGTAGAACTGTCCTAACTATTTCTCTGAAGATGAGCTGTGAGTAGAAAGAAATCTTAGTTATATTTTAACTTAACACTTATTACTAAACAAGGAAACTACCTCCAGGACATCCATGAGAAACAATCAAAAATCTCAACCTTTAAGGCCTCCAGAATTGAAAAGCTGACAATTGGCAGAAGGAATCATGAACTCAAGGCCAGACTGGGCTACATACCAAGACCCTTTCTCAAAGATGCAGATTCAAAAATTAATATGCTTGAAATTTCCACCCAACCCAGGAAACATTACCACACCCCAAACTAGAAGAATCTTCTTGTATTCCACCTTGACCACGTCCCACCACTAATCATGATCTTGCTTTTATTTAGTTTTTAATTTAGGCTCTTATAAATGATTTTCTAAATAGTATAGCTCTTTCAAAGCTGTAGAAACGGGGGAATATCACATATATTTCCTATGACTTCCTTGTTTCACAAAATAATACAAATTTTAATATTAACGGTTTATCAATTATTACTGCGAAATTATACTACACTGATGAATAAACCAATATTTATTTAGCCACCACTCTTGGTGAAACCTTGTATTGGTTATAGATTTTTGCTTTTATTTATGGAGCCACTATAAACATGCTTGAACATGCCTCACTCATGTGCAAAACTTTTCCAAAGAGTGGGATTGTATATGTTTACTTTATTAAGTACTATGAAATTGTTGTTACAAGTGATTATTCTAATACCAGCAATAGATTAGTTTGTATGGCCCCTTATTCTCACAAGTAGTTAGGAGTTTCAAAGATCTTAAATTTTGCCAATCTCACCAGAAATTTCACTCTAGTTTAAACTGGAATTTTGTAATAGGCATATACTGCAGCTAATTATATCTGCCCTTCTCTGAAAATCAACTCATTGTGGGAGAGGTAGCAATACTATTACTGAAGTATAACTTACTACACAGGCATATATAAACCATAGTTAGAAAGCTCACTAAATTTTCAAAGTGTGAGCACACCCAGCCCTGGCACCTGGATACACATACAGAACATTATAAGCAACTGAGAAGCTACACTTGTGCTCCCTGTAATCATTAGGCATCCTCTAAGAGAGTAACTACTATGCTGCCTAAAAAATTACAATGTTTTGAAATTTTTACATGTATATTTGTGAAAGAAATTGGTCTTTTATTTTCCTCTTTTATATTTGTTATGTTTTGGAACACAGGATTTGTTAAGTTGGTAAAATAAGTTGGTAAATATTTCCATGTTCTGTTCTTTACAAGATCCTGTAGTTTTTTTGAACTAAGTTCTTCCCAGTCACCATTCATCATTGTTGTATGTATCAATATTTTTTCTTAGTTATATTCCATCACATGAATATACTATTATTTTTTATCCATTCATTCAATTCTTGATAGACAATTGGGTTTTTCAAAGCTTTTTAATATTATAAATAGCCATACTATAAGCATTGTAGTTCATGTCTTTTAGTGGGCATGTTTTCTTTTCTCTTAGGTAAAAGCCTAGGATTCCAAAATCAAATGGTAACTATGCATTTAACTTTACTTAACAAAACTACCAAACTATTTCCAAAGAGGTTACACCATTTTCAGTTACAACAATGATTAAAAGTTTTAAATTCTCATAGTGTTAATACTTTTAAGACACAGTGTTACTGTGTTTTTTACTTTTAGCCAATTCTAGTCATTCTTTGGTGTTATTTTAATATGGATTCATTTTCCTGGTAGGGGATAAAGTTGAACATCTTTTCATGTTGTTTATTTATCCATTCTGATTGAGCTGTTGGGTCTCCTTAAATATTTTGGATGCACATTTTTTCTAGTATCAGTGTGTTTGCAGAGATTTTTCAAGTGGACAGGTGGATGACTTGCCCTTTATTTTTTTCAGTTTCTTTCAAAGAAAAGAAGGAATTAGTTTGTATGAAGTCCAACTTAGCTTTTTTTTTATTTGTTTTATTCATATGTGCATACAATGTTTGGGTCATTTCTCCTCCCTTCCCCCCGGCCCCCTTCCCTGAGCTTTTTTATGCTATGGTTTACGCCTTTTTATATTTTAAAATATCTTTACTACAAAAGATTTTTTTCCTGTAGTTTTTGTTCCAGAAATTTTATACTTTCAGTCTTTACAATTAGGTCTATTTATGTATCTATTTCATCTCAAGTTTGATTTTGTATATGGTATGAGATACAGAATGAAGTTCATTTGTTTTCCCACCCAGAAATCTAGTTATTTCAGGACCATTTATTGAAAAGGATATCCTTCCCTCACTTAAGTGTTACCTTCAATTTGTTACCTTGTAACAAATCAAATATATTTTAATCATATATTGTAAAATTATTTTTGAACATTATTCTGCTTTACTGATCTGCTGTCTGTTTCTAAAGCAATATGACACTTTCTTGCATAAAGGAGCGATACAGTAAGCCTTGACACTGATGGATTTAGGATGTGCTACAAGAAAATACAGTACTTTGCATTTGAAAAACTAGCAGAAGAAAGTATCATTGAACTTCCAGAATACTTTTCTCCTGAAGCAGACCATAAAAGAATTCTGTGATTTTCCTCAAAAGCAGGGCATAGACCATCATTCCAAAGGACTATCCTTTCTATATCTGGAGGAAAGGAATACAGGCAATACCTCAGAGAGAGTGCAAGTTCAATTTCAGACCACCACAATAAAGTGATTACTGCAATAAAGTGAAGCCACACAAACTTCTTTGGGTTTCCCAGTGCACATGAAAGTTAGTATAATCTAGTATATATGCAATAGCCTTATGGATAAAAATAACAATGTCTACACTTAATTTTAAGCTACTTCTATTGTTAAAAAAAATATCAACAATCATTTGAGCCTTTGGGCAGTCAGAATTCTGCTGGTAGAAAATTAGGGAGGTTGAAATTACCTTAAAATAAGACAATGGAGTTTGTTGTACTGATTGACTCTTTCACATAAAAACAATTTCTATAGGCAGAGTGGCTCAAGTTGGTAGAGTGCTTGCCTAGCGAGCAGGAGGCCTTGAGTTCAAACCTCAGTACCACCACCAAAAAAAATAAAAAATAAAAAATCTCTTTACCATACAATGCTGTTTGACAGTATTTTATCCACAGTAGAACGTCTTTGAAAAAACTGGAGCCAATCCTCTTGAACCCTGACAATGTATTATCAAATTTATATAATATTCAAAATATTTTTAAATATTCTAACTCCTCTGTTGTCGTTCCAACAATATGCACTATATTTTCACCAGTTATAAATTCACCAAAAAGAATTCACTTTCTTTGGTTATCCGTAAGTAACCACTCATCTGTTAAGTTTTATCATGAGGTTGTAGCAATTTAGTCATGTCTTCAGGCTCCACTTTTAATTCTAGTTTTCTTACTATTTCTACCACATCTGTAGTTAGTTCTTCCACTGAAGTCTTGATGCTCTCAAAGTCATCCAGGAGGGTTGGACTCAAGTTCTTCCAAGCTCCTGTTAATGTTGATTTGCTGTACCTCCTCCCATCAATCACAAATGTACCAAATGGCATCAAGAATGGTGAGTTCTCTTCACAAGGTTTTCCATTGACTTTGTCCAGATGCATAGAGAAATTACTATTTATACCAGCAACAGCCTTATAAAATGTGCTTCTTCATTAATTCTTGAAAATGGAAATCACTAAACAGGCTACAGAGTAGATGTTCTGTTAGGAAGTATATAAACATTAACTCTGTTGTTTATCTCCATCAGAGTTTACGGGTGACCACATGCATTATCAATGAGCAGCAGTATTTTGAAAGGACTCTTCATTTTCTGAGCAACAGGTCTCAAAAGTGTGCTCAGGCCAAGTGCCAGTGGCTCATGCCTACAATTCTAGCTACTTGGGAGGCAGAAATCTGAAGGATCATGATTAGAGGCCAGCCCAGGGCACAAAGCAAGACCCCATCTCAAAAAAGTCCCAAACACATGCCAAAAAAAAAAGAATGGCAAAGTGACTCAAGTTGTAGAGTGCCTGCCTAGCAAGTGTGAGGCCCTGAGTTCAAACCTCAGTACTGGAAAAAAAAAAGTAAATACTCAAATCAGTACGAAATCATTGTGGGGAAAATTCACTTTAAAAGTACTAGCCAAAAGGTGCTATAAAACCAAAGAAACAGAGGTCAACACGAGAAGGGGATCAGGAACCAGAGTAAAGATCAGTTAGAGATGAATCAACCTGGGTTGTAACACATTTGTACATGAAAGCAATGCTAAGAATCTCTCTGTATAGCTGTCCTTATCTCAACTAGCAAAAATGCTACATCTTTTTCATTATTGCTTATTTCTACTCTTCAACGGAACTGGAGAAAAGCGCAGAACAGGTTTTTGCCTGGAAGGGAGGGGGAGGGGGAAAGGGTGGGGGCGGGGGCAGGAGGGAGAAATTGCCCAAACAATGTATGCACGTGTATAAATGAATTAAAAAAAAAAAACCAAAGAAAGAGGCAAACACATCCAAAATTAGAGGGAGTACAATTTATTGAGGACTTACTGACAGAAGTGGTCAAGGCTGGCAGAAATCTTGGTGCATCCCTGCAACTTGGGTCACAGGGGGAAAGCTTATACAGTACTCAACACAAGAAACTTTCATCCAAGCCAATGTGCACACGACTCTTGTCTCAAGCTAATATTAAAGCTGTCAGGAAATGACTTAGGAGGCAATCATGGCAATTACAACTCAAGAGGGTTGCATTCAGGTCCAACTGGAAACCTACAGCCATGTTGTAACAGGTGTGCTTTGTTGTTCCATTTACAGAGTACAGGCCAAATAGATAGAGTCTAATGCTTAAGGGCCCAATTCTTAAGTTGAGCCCTGGCTTCAACTTGAGTCAACAGCCGCATTAGTATTTAACAAGAAAATCAGTCTGTCCTTTGAAACCAGGAACTGATTTCTCCTTTGTAGTTATAAAAGTCCTACGTGGCACTGTCTTCCAAAATAAGGCTGTTTTGTCCACATTGAGTACCTGTTTTTCACTGTTTGTTCATCAGTTTTCTTAGCTACTTCTTCTAGATAACTTGCTGTAGCTTCTACATCAGCACTTTCTGCTTCATCTTGCAGTTGTATATATTATGGAGATAGCTTCACTTAAATCTCAGGAACCAACATCTGGTAGCTCTAAATTTTTCTACTGCAGCTTCCTCACCTTTCTCAGTCTGCACAGAACTTAAGAGAGTTAGGGCCTTCCTCTGGATTATTAGTCTTTGGCTTCAGGAAATGATGTGGCTGGTCTGATATTCTGTCCTAACAACCAGAACTTTCTTAGTATTAGCAATAAGGCTTCTTTGCTTTCTTACCATTTGTCCACTGGAGTAACACTTTTAATTTCTTTAAAAACATTTCCATTCAAAACTTGGCTAACTGTCTGGCATAAGAAGCCTAACTTTCTGCCTGTCGGCTGGACATGTCTTCCTCACAAGGCTCAAATCATTTCCAGGTTTTGATTATGTGAGTCTTTCTTTCACTTCAATACATACAGATTATTATAGGGTTATTGATTGGCCTAGTTTCAATATTGTTGTATCTCAGGGGAATAGGGAGGTCTGAAGACAGGGAGACAGATGGAGGACAGCAGGTCATTGGACCAATCAGAACACAGGAAACAATTATCTATTAAATTTGATGTCTATTTGGGAAGGCATGGTTAATGACATTCCAAAACAATTACAAAATAGCATCAAAGATCACCATACAAAATACAGCAATACTGAAAAAGATTAAATATTGAGAAAATAACCGAAATGTGACACCGAGACATAACCTGAGCACATGTTGCTGGGGAGAAAGATGCCAAAAGACTTGCTTAACACAGTGTTGCCACAAACATTTAATTTATGAAAGAAAGGGAGGGAGTAAGGGCAGATAAGGAGAGGGAGAAGGGGGAGGAGGGAGGGGGGAGTGGAGGGGGAAGAGAAAGAGGGAAGGAGGAACAGGGAGGGGAGGGGGTGGGGAGGAGGAGGAAGTGGGAGGGGAGGGGGAGAGGGAGGGAGGGAGGAAGGAAGGAAGGAAGGAAGGAAGGAAGGAAGGAAGGAAGGATCCAATTATCTATGAAGTATAATAAAGTGAAGTGAGATAAAATGAGATAGGCCTCTATTACACAGAAATTCCAAAAAGAATCTGAACAAACAGGACTCACTAAACTTCCCTCTAGTGTATTAGTTAGATCTTATCCTTTTGTCCTCCAACCTTATTTCTGTATGACTGGACTGTCCATAAAAAACTTTACTGTTTCTTAAGTATTCATTGATGAAGATTCCATTTCACTTTAAACTTATATAAAATAACTTCATATACTTTTCTCTTATTAATCTGCCTTTTATTATAGGAGCCTTAGCCAGAACAATCTGATGGGTAAGAAATCTTTTCTTCCCTAAATGAAAAGCCTTAAACATTATTCTTATCCAAAGCTGTTTTGTCAAGTTTTACTATAAGCAGGAAAGAGAAACAAGACTCTGCTTTCAATAGTCTGTTTAGCAATCTTCTCAGCTAAATGTTCAAATTCATCCTGTACTAGCTCTACATTCCACAAAACACCAGAAAACAATTCAGCCAAGTCCTCTGCCACTTTTAAAAAAGAATTACCCAACAAGTCTCTTCCAGACTTGGAGGTAGGAATAAGGAAAAAGTGAGTATGTTGGATGTAATTTGCATTCACATATGAAAATGGCAGAATGCAATCTGTTGAACTTGTTCTAAGAAACGGACGGGAGGTGTGATAAGGGAGAACAATGGTGGGGGGATGTAAATCTAACTAAGCTATAATGTAAGCACATATGTAAATATCATAATGTATCCCCCTGTACAAATATTATATGCTAATAAAAAATGTGAAACCAAAAAGAATACTCTTTCCTCCAGTGTCAAATAACATGTCCCTGATTTCTACTGGAGGTCTCACCAGCAGCAGTTTTAACATGCTACCAATTATTTCTTCAAGACTAGAATCTAGGATTTTCCTAACAAAAACTCTCCCAGTATTCACCATTTCCACTTCCACATTGTTAAGTGTTTGTAATAACCAACAACCCACTTCCTTGGTACCAAAATCTACATGAGATTGCTAGGACTCACATAAGAAAATACTACAAAATTAGTGGCTTACACAACAGAAGCATGTTTTCTCACAGTTCTGGACCACCAAGTCCAAGATCAAGGCATGGACAGAACTCATTTTGCCTGAGGCCTCTGCCTTTGGCCTGCTGACGCCTTCTTGCTGTACCTTCACGACATCTTTCCTTTGTGCACATGTACCCCTGGTATCTCTTTGTATGCCCAAACTGCCTTTTATAAAGACACCAGTTAGGCTATATTAGGAACCACCACAACAGCATTATTTTCATTTAATAACTGACTTTAAGGACCCATCTCCAAATATAGTCACAACCTGAGCTATTGAGATTAGGATTCCACAAATGGATTTGAGGGAACATAAAGCTGTAACAACATAGCAAATGTACGTTTAAACTATAAACCACAAATAAAAAGGTAAAGAGGCCAGCAATATACCATGTTAATGAATTGAAAGATTTGATACTGTTAAAATTTCAGTTCTCCCCAGATTGATTATTAAATACTATTCTCATCAAAATCCCAGCAGGAAGTTTTACAAAAATTGACGAAGATGTAAAAGTTACATGTAAAGGCAAAGAAACTAGTTAAAAACATTTTGGAAAAACAAAGAATTGGATAACTTACCTTACCGGATTTTAAAACTTACCATGAAGCTAATGCATAACTAATACACTATGGTACTGACACAGGTGGAAAGGGTAGACACAAAAATTACTGAAAAAGAATAGTCAGCAATAGTGCCACACATAGAGTCAACTTAATAAAAAGAATGGTCTTCTCTAATAAATTAAGCTGAAAATCTAGAAATAAAAATTTAAAAATAGAATGAAGACACAGTAAAGATACCATATACAAAAAATTAACACAAAATGGACATAGACCTAAGTAGAAAACTTAAGACTTGGGCTAGAAGTGTGGCTCACATGGTAGAGTAAAGACTAATAGGACATTATGTCAGCAAATTATTCTCAAATGGATGGAGGGGTGGGGTTTCTTTGTGCTATTGTTGCAATTTTTCAAGTTTGAAATTATTTCAAAAGAAAAAAACTTGTTAAAAACTGTTAAATAAAGGGAGGTAGGGGGACAACAGAGAGTAACAGAGGGGGTAAATTTGATCAAAGTACATTATATGCATTCATGGAAATATAACAACAAAAAAAGAGAGGAAAAAAAGTAATTGTTAAAGATTACTTTCACGAGAATGAAACCAGAGGAAATATCAAAGAAAACTGTGACTGGATATTCTCCCTCTGAAATTACCTTGGAAGGACAACACTTACATAATGCACAATCCAGAAGTTATAAAAATTTGAATATGTAAAAAATGACTTTTTATGGCAAAAATAAATGAATATGTAAAATAAAAAAAAACAAAACAGAAAAACAAGTCATTTTAACTAATCAATATAATTTCCTTAACTGGAAAACCATAATTCAATAGAAAAAAGTACAGAAGATATAAGCAGCAGTTTCCAAAAGGAAAATTCAATCATTAAACCTAGGAAAAGACTTTCTTACTCATATAGAAATGCAAATCAACCAGAAGACAACATTTTCTAAGAATAAGATTAATTACTGCAGAGGGAAAAAAAAAAACACTCATTCACTGTTAATGGACTGTAAATTAATACCCAACTTAGAAAGGAAATTTGGCTAAGTTCATCTAAATTTAAAATTCATATACTTTTTTATTCAACAATTCCATTTATAGAAATTTGTCTGTGGATAAAAATATAACCAAATACATGTACAAGGAAGTTCAAGACAGCACTTTTCATAACCTGAACACTCACAGCAACATGAACGTCCATCCATCCAGAGAGGATGCATTAGATGAAAGATGCAACACTCCTACAACTCAGTATCAATATGGTCTAGATTTATACTGCTAACATTAAGGTATCACTAAGATATGCAATATATGATAGTAATGACACAAAGGACACCAATCATATTTCTTAAATTTGAAGAACATATTTATACATGAATGAACATGTGTGTACAGAAGCAGTGGTTAACAGTGTTATCATTAGTGAGAGAAAATGGAGGTGTCTAAAAAACGGGCATTATTTTATATCTTCCTTATCTAAATGCACTTTTTACTATTTCATCAATTTCTTTCTTAAAATGTCTGTTCAAAATGAATTATAAATCATTTTACCTGAAATTCCTATGGCTGTTTCAAATACTCCTTGTGAACTTTCTTTTAAAATTCAGTCTTTTAATTCTGAAAATAACATTACCTGAGCCTGCCACCAGTGCTCATGCCTATAATTCTAGCTACAGAGAATCTCAGAGATCTCAGGAGGATCTTGGTTTGATGCCAGCTCAGGGGAACAGTTTAAGAGATCCTATCTCAAAAATACTCAATACAAGAAAGGGCTGGAAGAGTGGCTCAAGTAGTAGAGCACCTGCCTAGAAAGCATGAGGCCCTAGTTCAAACCCCAGTACCAACCCGCTCCCTCCAAAAAAAATGTTAAAAAATTACCTGAAATGACTTGATAGGGGCAGGTGCATCAGTTACAGGTTCAGGTTTTGGAATGCTTTCAACCAATTTCATGATTCCTTGCAGCTTTTTATCCGAAATTCGTAAAGAAACAAGAGGCAACTGTCCAGAAAGCTTGAATCTGTTGTTAAAAGAAAGGAATCATTATAGATGTGCTTTCATTGTGGTTTAAATGTATTAATTAAAAAAGGTAACTGGGGCTGGGGATGTAGCTCACTAGTAGAGGGATTGCCTGGTATGCATAAAACCCTGGCTTAATCCCCAGCACAGGGGGTTGGGAGGGTAAAAAGGGAGGGAAAGGAAGGAAGAGAGGGGAAAGGCAAAAGGGGAAGAGGAAAGGGGAAAGGGAGATAGGAAACAGAGCGGGGAAAGGGAGGGGGAAAGGGGAGATGGAGAGGGGAGCTGGGAAGGGAAGGGGAGATGGAGAAGGGGAGAGGGAGAAGGGGAGAAGGGGAGAAGGAGTGGGACAGAGAGAGAGGGAGAAAGAGGCAGGCTGACTCCCTCAAATTATACAAGTATAATCAAATGTGATTTAAGCACTAAAAATCACTATTCCCATTTCCATCCTACCTTGTGAAAGTCTCATTAGGTGGACTAGACTCTAAAAGGCTTATTTTCTATTATTTCATGTATTGTCTACTATTTGCCAAATATAGATGACAATTACTATTTGTGAAATGTATATTATGTGACAGGCATGGAAGAAAGCACTTTATATGCATTATTGTGAGCAGTCTTCACAACTTAAGAAGTAAACAACCTATTTCTACTTCTCATAGGTTGTAAGTTCCAAATGTACATGGTTCCTGTAAGAAACCTAAGGCTTATCATGTTCAACTAATCTGTCCAAGAAATTGTATGTCTAAAACCATTACTCAAAACCAGACTCTGTTGGCTCAAGCAGTAAAGCACCTGCCTTGCAAGCATGAAGACCTGAGTTCAAACTCTAGTCCCACCAAACAAACAAAAAAGCCACACCCAAGTGTTTCATTATTCTTTTAAATTGCCTTGACAGTCTCCTTTGCTTACAGATGCAACATAATGAATTTACAAGATGGACCAAAGAGAAAGTTTTCATTCAAAATTTCTTATCCCTACATTTTTCCTAAAGCTGACTCATTCAAATCACTCATATTGAGTATCTGAATTCATTCAGAAAAGTATAAGCTTTCTTTTATTTACAACAGCCCAAATCTTTGTAATTAACCACACACCCTCGTTTAACCTCATTACACATTATGGATAAATACAATTAACACATCTAAACGCTTCATTTTCTTAAAATATCCAAGTTGTACAATCTGAAGATGGCAGGCAAAAACAAAACAAAAAACACTACCTACTAAGTCACAGGCTTCCTTTATATGCTTTAAATTTACTTAGCTCAAACGTCAAAGAAAGGTTCCAGACATTGTAATGTTTACAGATTTTACATAATGTTATATTTACTTTTTACTGCTCATGACATTACAAAAAAAAATTTCTCAGATTTCATCTTTCTTAATCATTATTTCTGGTCTATGATTATTTTAATTACACTTCCCTGGTCTTAACCTATAGCCATTATCAATATACATAAAGACATTTTAATCAACTATTTTAATCCCTGCTATCCTGTACCTACTCCCTGCAACAAGCACATATATTCTCTCTAATCATATACTGACAGAACAAGTCCAGAGCAAGGTAAGTTGCCCTTTTCTTCCCTCACACTTTTCCCTCCTTTTATTTGGTACTCTGAATATCCTATATTACAGCATACTTACCAAGGGGGGGAGAAATAAAAACAATGCTGAATAAAAAGAAAAATCAGTTCATATTCTGATGTTTACAAGAAGTCACATACATATTTGTTCTTTATCACAGACTGAAAAAGTGCAGGAAATATTAGATAAAAGTAAATAGGCAGGGGGACATCTGGGAAAGAATTTAAGCCTTACCTCTGAAATGTCTAAGTTGAATTACCAAAACAAAACAAAAAAACCACCAGAATGTATAGAATGGCTTTCTTTCCCACCTTAAACTAAATTCTAAGCATTCCTCTGCCTAGACTCAGCCTATTTAGCTTTTCTAAGAGAAGGAAACCTAGGACAAGAATTAGGACAATATATAATGTCTGCTATTAGGTAGCATCACTATAAGTTAAAAGTCAACAAGAAAGGTGTGGGAAGAAAACTGGGGGAAGGCTTCCTGGAGGAGGTGATGTCTCAGCTTCCAAAAGAATAAAAATCAGCCCAAAAAAGCGGGGGTGGTGGGGTGGTGGAAGAGGTTGGAGGAAGTGAATCTTTCTTTTTTACCTCGTAAGAAGGATAAGTAGTAAAAACAAGGTCCATACCACAAATCATATGGGAAAAGATAAGGTATTCCTAATTCCCTAATTCTTTTTACACATAAGCATTACCATGTTCTCCTGCTGCCTTGCTAGAAGCAATTCTCTTGAAACTACTTGGTAGGTTGTTATAGATGAGTCTTTCTACAAAAATCTGAAATAGTGCTGTGGCTGAGGTTTGAATGCTTGCAAGAGAGACAAAAGGTGCTATAGACAGAATAGGTGAAATGGCTACTTATGGTATAAAACTATTTAAGAATAAATCAGCTAAATGCTCTAGTCTAGTTCAACAGACTTCTCTACTTCTCTACTCCTAGGTTCATAGCTTCAGATAACAATAAAATATAAAGATCACAGTAAAGATAAATGTATGGACAAATAAAAATATTATAATTTTGATTTGTAACTCCACTTCTTATTTTCTACAAGATTTAAAATGCAAATACATAAAAATAACTGTAAGTCTGTAAATAGGCAAAGAACATCTGAAGATTTAAACTAGGACATTAACAACTGAAAGGAGTAGAGCAAGAAAGTAGTTTTTGCATGTAATTGAGACTAAGTAGGCATCAACTTTACAGAGTGTAACAGCTTTAGGATATTACATATAATCTCCATGATAATCACAAAAAAGGTATCTATACAATATACAAAAATGAAATGAGAAAGAAATCAAAACACATTAGAACAAATATCAACTCAACACAAAGGAAGGCTGTAATAGAGGATATGTACCAAACATCACAGCTCAAACATACATGAATCAAACACTAACACAATTAGGGCTGGTGGCATAGCTCAAGTGGTAGAGTATACACCTAGCAAGCACAAGGCCCTGTGTTTAAATCCCAGTACAAAAAAAAGAACAAACAAAACAACACCCTGACAGAATGAATGGGGAGAAGTAGCTCTCTAGTAGTCAGGAGACTCCAATAACTCACATTAAAAATGAAAGAACAACCAGCAAGATGGCCAATTAAAAAACAGAGGACTAGAAGACACTGTGCTAAGTGAAGTAATCCAGACAAAATAGGACCAATATTGTATGGTTCCACTTACATGGGGAACCTAAACTAAAGATAAAAAGTAGACTGGTATCAGCCAGGGGCTAGGAACGGGGTAGAACAGGGTACTACTGTTAATGGGCATGGAGTTTCAGCTGGAAGACGATAAAGTTTAGAGATATATTGTGCAACTCAATGCCACTAACCTAAATATTTAGAAATAGTCTAAATGGTAAATGCTATTGTTATATCTTACCACAAATAAGTCAATAAAATTTATCTTCCTAGCTATAGAATTACTCAGAAAATCCAAAAAACACATGAAATAGGTAATATACATACTTGGGCATCCTGATATCCATGAAAACCATGGCTTTAGAAAGTTCCACATTGACGTGCATGGGTACCAAAATATGCTGCGTAGACACATTCAGTTTTCGAGCTTCTTTCCAATTATCACCTAAGTACACAAAAACATTCATGCTTAATAGCAGCATAATTTGAATAACACACAGACCTAAAATTTTTGTTAATACTTCATATTCATGTACCACATGGTGGACAAAAAATGATCCCATATCTAAATAGTCTTAATTATATAAAATATACACAATCAACAGGTAAATTCTTTTGCCTTTCATTATTTTTCTTGTCCTGCTTCATAAGACTGTATCCTATTAAAAAAAATGCTTGTTTTTTTAAAAGCAGCATACTTTAAATCAAATCTACTGTGCCTCTATTGACAATCACTACATAAACCAGATTATCTTTCCCCAAAAACAACATGCCTGTAAGGCAGTAATGGAAAAGGCAGGTAAAACTGAGTTTAACAGTAACTAATAAATGCTGGAATTTATTCAAGATTAATAAATAGCATCTTTCTGGGCAATGTTTAAACTTTAATTCTCACAGTGATTTATAAAGAGGAATGGAAGGAGGAAGGAATGTGAGTCATATTAAAAAAATCATTTACAAGTACGTCCAAACATTGCATAAGCACACTTCATATACTCATAAGTGCATACAATGAAATAAGACTAAAGGATACACACTGAAATATCAATAGTATTCATGTCTAAGCAGTTAGATTAAGGAGAATGATGGAGGAGTGATTTCAACCATGATATATTGTAAGAACTTGGGTGAAGGTCACATTGTACCCCCAGTACAATAATTAAAAAAAAAAAAAGTAAAATAAAAAAGAACAGTCTCTTTTGTTTTGCAAATTTTTCAGATTTTTCTAAAATAGGCATAGTATTTATAATCCAAAAGAGATAAACTTAAAATTTTGTAACCAGATTAGGTCTTGGGGCATAGCTCAACAGTACAGCACTTGCCTAGCATGCTCAAAAGCCTGGGTTGCACACACCAAAAAAAATTTTTTAATAAACAAGATTAGTGGGATCTATATAATATAATGCATTTTCATAATATCACCTGACACTTGAACCTAACTGCTCTTTAAGTCCGAAAAAAATCTTAGTCTTGGAAAATTAGCAAAAGAGACATTGGACTCCTGGAGATAGGTGGTAAAATAGATTTTATTAAAGTGAGAGCATACAAGGGAGGTATGAGGATAGGTAAGAGACCCAAAAAACTAGATAGCATTTGTTGCCCTCAATGCAGAGAAACTAAAGCAGATACTTTAAAGCGACAGAGACCAATAGGAGAAGGGAACCAGGAACTAGAGAAAAGGTTAGTTCGAGAAGAATTAATTTAGAAGGTAACACACATGCACAGGAAATCAATGTGAGTCAATGCCCTGTATAACTATCCTTATCTCAACTAGCAAAAACCCTTGTTCCTTCCTATTATTGCTTATACTCTCTCTTCAACAAAATTAGAGATAAGGGCAAGACAGTTTCTGCCTGGTAGTGAGGGGGTTGGGTGGGAGAGGGAGGGGGAGGGGGAAGGGGGGAGAAATGACCCAAACATTGTACGCATATATGAATAAAAGAAAAAAATACATATATATATATATAAAAAAAAGAATTTTTCATCAGTATTGAGATAACTGAAATATTTCCATTACTTCCAATTTTAGAGTTAAAAACATGTATTTGGACACATGCATTTCAGTATTTCTCAAGAGATTATATGACAATTATACAAAGTAATCACAAGGTCAAAAAACCTGCTGAGAAAAAATGTTTAAGAATAGTATTCACCAAAAAAAATTCAAAGAAACCAGGTACTGGTGGCTCACGCCTTTAATCCTAGCTACTCAAGAGGAAGAGAGCAGGAGGACCCAGGTTCAAAGCCAACCTGGGCAAACAGTTCACAAAAAAAGGGCTGTGGAGTGGCTTAAGGTATAGGCCCTGAGTTCAAGCCCCAGTACCATTAAAAAAAAAAAAATCAAAGAAATACCAATAATCTTCAGATAATACCTTTTTAAAATTTTTACTTTAGCTTTTTTTTGGGGGAGGAGGGGAAGTACTGGGGTTTGAGCTCAGGGCCTCACACTTGCTAGGCAGGCACTTGAACACCTGAACCATTCCACCAGCCCGTTATTTTAACATTTTTTAAATAAGCATTTCAGTATCTTAAATTTTAAGTATGACTCATAGACTTAAAAAAACTTGTGAGTAAAATGTATCATTCAAACATACCAAAATGCCATGCATTTATTCCCCGAAAAAGAATTTATGGACTTTTGAAAAAAAAATTACTTTTGCCACCCACTGTACTTTTGAGCTCCTTCTGCAACAACCAAAATATGAAGGGGAAAAGAAAACAAACCACAAACCTAGTTCACTATCTTAAACCAAATAAAATTAAAGAAAAACATGAATATGGTAGAACTATTATGTACTCATGTATAAAAAAGGAAAAATGACACCTATTGAAAACTGTTCTAGGAAAGGAGGGAAGGGGGATAAAGAAGAATGATGGAGGGAATGAAATCAATTATGATATATTGTAAGAACTTTGGTAAATGTCACAATGTACCCCCAGTACAATAGAAAAAAGATCTAAAAAATTAAAAATGAGTAATTGCTTCAGAGTCAAAAAAAAAGAAAACTGATCAAGTTCTACAAAAACTAATAATTTTAAAGATTACTTTGGCTTCTCACTGCTTTTTTAATCAGCAGAGATAATTAAAGTATGACTCAATATACAGATCTCTACAAATAATAACCAAACTCTGTTGAATGATCTAAAGGTTGATTAAAACTCTAGGGATTCAGAAGCAGTATGGCAGAATGGAGAGCTGAATGAAACTGAAGTCTGCCCTTCTTTAAGTGAAAGTGACTCTTGTTAAGTCAACTTCCAATTCTAACTTCATCTAAAAAACTAGACATAGATCAGAGGTGCCTGACTGGTACACCAAAATGACTGGAATGAAGATATGTCTAGGATACTAACCCTTCAGAATCTCTGTGTGGCTATTTGTGGCCTGGGCTGTCAAAGTCCCTAAATTGATTATCTCCAACCTGTTTATCTAAAACTCTCTTCTGGTTACCTAATTGTGAAATACAAATATCATTTCCAGTATGTACCAATCCTTGGTTCAAGGCTGGAACACACTGCTATAGGTGATGATTTCTAAACCTTAGCACTACTGACATTTATTGTTTGGGGCTTGCCTGACACTATAAACTGTTTAGTAGCACCATGACCTCTCCCTGTAAACGCAGGTAGTATCCCTGAGCCCTACCTGTAACAACCAAAAATGTCTCCCAACACTGACATTTGTTTTTCAAGGCACAAAAACTCCTGGTTGAATACCACTGGACAAAATTTACTATCAGTTCTAATTTAAAAATACAAAGTCTAATACTTTTATGGGAAGGTCTTCAAAGTGTTTAAAACCTGATTAATTCCACAAAATCACTCAATAATGAATTTTATACTTACCCACTCTACTATAAAGCAGTTGTATGCTTGTTAGCTGAACATCAAAAGAATCATAAGCTCTATGCATTATCTCTTCAAGGTTGGCCCCACCTTGTTTCATATCTGGTAATTCTGAACGACTTTTGCTTGTCACCTTGAAGTTAATTTTAACAGTTTAGACTATTCAAAATACTTCAAAATGTAAGTTCTTACCTTTCAGATCACTAAAATAAAAATTTAGTAAATTTGCAAGCAGACATACAAGGCTATTAAAAAGGTCATAATCCATGAGGTGTATACTGAGAACATGTTTAAAGTGAATTTTTGCACATTTTTATTTCCCATTTACATATATTAAAAGGGGGAAACCAAGATGGTCCAATAAAATAATACACCTTTATAAAGATCTAAAATCTAGTAAGAAGTCTTCTCATTAAGAATAACATTAAGAGACAAATTTAGCTTACTATGTTTCAATGATACAGTGGCAAATATTTAGATAGCTTTGTAATAAGTAAAAGAATGCAGGATTTAATATTAGGAAGGCTAATTTTTTATCCTAACTGGGATTTATATGGCTCCCAGCACACTACGTTTCTATCTCCCTTTCTTGGTATACTGTGCACACTATTTGTTTTACTTAACATCCTAGAGATCATTCCACAGTAGGAAATACAAATAGGAAATAAAGATCTTGTGTGTGTGTGTGTGTGTGTGTATATATATATAAATGTATATGCATGGAGATATATAGATAAGTGTACATACGTACATACACACAGAAAATACTTCCCTCTATTTTATACAGCTCATGTGAAATAGACTGTCAAAAAGTATCTCTGTCTGAAAGTACTGTATTTTAGGTAGCAGGTAAAGCAAACTACCTAATGTCACAAAATCAGATAGGTATCATTACTCCTTACCTCATACTGTTAGGCCTGAAACAATTCAGTAACTAAATTATTCAAATATAAATAATTAGCTGTAAAAACACTATTATAAACATAAATCTGGTTGGTCTATGTAAATCCCAAGTGCAGAGTAAAGATGGGTGGGTATGTGGGGTGAGTGGGGGGAGGGAAGGGGAGGGATAGGGAGATACACAGATACATAGATATAAATATAAGAGAGAATGTCAGTATCAAGAAAAAGTACAGTTTGTTAGGCAGGCAGAAAAATCACTCTAATATTATCTATCTCCCTTGAGTCTTTAAATTGTTTTAAGACTCAATGTTTCAAGGTTTACAGCAATACTGCCCAATAGAACTTTGATAATAATCGAAATGTTCTGAATCTGTGCTGTCCAACACAGTAACCACTTTTGACTATTAAACACATAAATGTGACTAACGTAACTAAGAAACTTAATTTATAATTTTATCTAAATTTCAATAATTACACGTAGCTAATCTGAATAGCACAGATCTAGAAATACAAGACAATTATCCTTGACTTAAATTTTGGGAAGAAAAAGAGCTTATAATCAGAAGAAAAACGTAACTAGATAAATACAAGACCACCTTTTCAATTTAAATTTCACAGAACTATTAAAATGTCTATATTTAGTTATATATGCAAAAGTTTCCAGGTGATGAAGATACATTTGATTACTTTCAGTAGCCCCACTATTCTATATACATTAATCAAGTAAAAGATTCAAACTGAAAAAGAAACAAAATTTCTTAAGCATGAATATCAAATTCTATAAATATAATTAAGTTTACATCTGACCTGGAAAGTTCTCTTGGTCACTTTGCTTTCATTAAATGAAACTTTATTCACTAGAAAGGAAGATTTCTCAAATCCTAATATCTACCATAAATGTAAACATCAATAAGCCTAATCAAACTATCCAAAAGCTAAAGTACATTTTAAAACAAAGAAACACCCTAAATACCATATTATTAATCAAACATTATTGATATATACCTTTAGATGACCAAGATCCAAAAGAAGTAGATTTGATGTAGGGCTAAAAATTCCATCTTGTGGGATAATAACATATGAAGCCTTCAAATTAATTCTGAGATCAAGAACTTTCTGTGTTTCAATAATGTACAACAGACCTGTAAAAAATTTAAATCTTTTCATAAGTAACTCAAGAAACAGGAATCACTACACATATGAATTACTAGTTTTTAAATAATTTAAAATCAGTATTAATCTTAAAATAACCTTGAACAAAATATTTCCAATTTAAATTTAATACATATGCATGGTAATGAATACTTACAACACTCTTAATTAAATTTTAGTATAAAATTGGAGTGATTTCTTTTTAAAATGTTTTTAACCCATAGACTCAATTTGGGTATAAATGAAATATAAATATCTTTTAAAAAAAAAAGCATGAATTAATGATTTTACTCCAAAACAATGAAAACTCCTGGGTCATTAATTAATCTTCATCAACATCATCTATAAACAGAAAAGGAAAATACAAACAGGGTTTCCCTTTCCTTAAATAACTCTTCATTCATTTGAGGCATCTAATTATAATAAACTTAGTACATTCACTTGCATGAGATTAGTAACCAAATTAACCTATTTTATGTACCAAAGCCCAGTATCTTTTAAGAGTAAAATATGGGAGTCCCCTCCTTTTAGGAAAAAAACTGTGTGAACAGCCATGGAATCAATTTGAGAGAATAAAAGATGTTTCAACTTATGAAGATTCAGGAGATCTGATACTTAAATAGAAAGCTACCTCACTTCACAAAGACCAAAGCGGGGGGTGGAAAGGCAGAAACAAAACTACAAAAGAGTTATCATGAGGACTAAAATATTAAATGTGGATTACACTAAGAATAAAACTCTTAAAAAGTAGACTGAAAATGATACTTAATATGTAGACCCTCATATTCTGGTCAAGAGCATGTGCAGTTTAGTCCAATAACTTTCAGAATAGGTCTAGTTAGGAAAAGTTACAAGAGTACTGAATAAGAAAGGCAGAGATTTAAAAAAAAAAACATTTGCCAGAAATGTCCTATGATTTTTCTAAAAGAACTAACCCACAAAGCTCAATATTTTAATAGTTCATGTACTTCTACTTGGAAGTACTCTGGTTCCTATTTTACCATTATCTAGGCTCTTCTTCCCCAAAAGCCAAAGTAAATGGTGTCATAATACAGAGTTTTGTGATGCCGTAATAATAAACCCTTATGAAGGATTAAAAAAAAAGAAATACCCTATACAAAGCAAACCTGAGCAAAATCTCTTTAAATGACACAAGATGATGTTAAGTATAGGGATGAGGTTAACTATAGGTCTCCAAACAATTCTAATACTCATCCAATAAACTTGGAACTTAAAATCAGAACTGACTCAAACACAGTTTACATTTTTCCCCAATAATTTACATTTAAACACAGAAAGCAGTTTTAATCCAGTTTATTTTCTGGGTGAGTCATAAAAAGCATCTAGAAGAGACAATATGGCCCTCAATATTCCCCAGGGTCTACTGTTAAAGCACTTCTTTATCTTCATCTGCATTTCTACTCTATTCATCAACCCAAGTGAGGAATTCCTACCTCTCTAAATCTAAGTCCTGAACTCCATGGAAGTCCTACCTTAACCCTTATTTTATTTTTTTGGGGGGGGAGGGATTCCTTATTTATTTTGTTATTTTCTATGTATATATGTATTATATCCCAAATTGGATCATTCGCTCACATTTTTCTCCTTTCTACCTTAGTCCTCTTCTTATGGTGAGTTCAATCATTTTAAAAATTCTACTGGGTATTGAGGGGGTGGGGAGGAGAGGGAGGGGGCGGAGTGGGTGGTAAGGGAGGGGGTGGGGGCAGGGGGGAGGAATGACCCAAGCCTTGTATGCACATATGAATAATAAAAGAAAAAAAATGTTAAAAAAAAAAATTCTATATCCATTCTTGTATAGGAAGTACATCACTCATACTTACCTCTCTTCCTTCTTTTACCCTCCCTCTCTAGTTAGTGCCCTCCCCTTAGCATGACCTGTTTTTCAATCCTGTCCTTTATTGCTTAGATGTCTATTTGTTGGTCAGAGGGATTTTTACCTGTACATACATTGTACTTAGGTCAGTGTAACTCCCACCACTGCACTTCCTCGCCCTTTTCCCCCATCCTGTGTTAATAGCTTTCAGCCTGTTTCCTTATGTCTTCTTCCTACACAGATGCGATATATTTCATTATTATTTGCTATCTTCTTTCCTTCATTTCTTCCTCCCTGGTTTCCTCTACCTGTCCCCTTTCAGATAAATGCTCTTCATATATTTCTATGTATATATATTATTGCTTGTATTTGTAGAGGGTCTATATTCTACATGAGAGAGGACATGCAGCTTTTGGCCTTCTGAACCTGGATAACTTCACTTAAGATGATGCTTTCCCATTCCATCCACTTATCTGCAAACAACAAAATTTCATTCTTCTTTATGGCAGAATAAAATTCTCCTGTATAAAAATACCATGTTTCCATACATCAGTTGTGGGGCAACTGATAGCAAATTGCCAGCAAGTTTTGCCAACATGGAACCACAATGTCTTATCTGCCATTTAGTGAGTCAGAGCTGTGCCTCTTCCCGGGGAACTCTTTCAGTCCTATATTTGTTACAACTACTCTTCCTATACTCTTCAAATTTACTCTTTGGAGGAAGGAGACCATTCCTAATTATAGTTACTAATTCATTACATTAAACTTTTCCTGGTCAAACTACTATGTGGTTTCTCTCTCCTGACTGGACCCACACACCATTTATTACAGTTCTTAAATAGATGACTCTTAGTTTTACATTTGTTCTATCTATGTAATTGTAAGATTAAGAGACAAGAACTACATCCATTCTGAACACTCTTGTGCAGCCCAAAACCTAGTATAGTGTCTGATACATAATTAGACTCAAATACTTGGATGAGTAAATAAATGTAATAATTAAAAGAAAATGAATCGTTATGATTCCACCTATGTTAACACTTTTGTCACTGACAAACTACCGTAACAAAGCAACACACAAGATTTATTTTGCCTCATGGTTTTGGGGGGTGAGGGAGGGGGAGAGAGGGGACAAAAGGGGTAGAGAAAGGGGGAAAAAAGGAGAGGAGAGAGGAGAGAGGAGAGAGGAAGGGGGAGGGGAGGGAAGAGGATGGGAAGGAGGGGAGGGGAGGGGAGGGGAGGGATGAATTAGTTGGGTTTCTCCTCTTTTTTTCCCCCAAAATTCCATCTGGGCCCCCAGCCTATGGCATGGTTCTGTCCAGATTCAGGTTTGATCTTCTCCCTTAATAAATTCTCTCTGGATCCACCCTCACAGACATACCCAGAGTTATGTTTTACTAATCACCTAGGTGCTGCTGAATCCAATCAAGTTCACAATCAGAGAATCCTGTATTTCAAAAAAAGTACCAAAAAACACCACCTGTCTTCCTGCCAGGGACAAAGAACGTACTGTTCCCACTTCACAGAAAAAGAACTAAAAGGGATGAAGAAAATAACATAAGAAAAAAATGATACAAAGAAAATAATTAATAGAGAATAATGCAACAAAATACAAGTAAGGAAGAAAGAAGAGAATGAACAACCTAAACAAAGCTATGTAACAAATAAGGCTCTTCCAAAATTTTAACTTTCTAGAAAAAAAAACCCAAAATATATTAATTTTAAAAATTAAGTTAAAAATGTTTTATATTAGCTCTCCATTTTTCATAAAAATAACAATGTATTCTAAACAAGAAAAGAGATGGAAGAACAAACTTCAAATGATAAAGATTATGTCTAGAAGGTAAAATACAGGAGACTTCCACTTTCTAAAGATATATTTCTATAACATTTGAATTTTACACAGTGGCTATTTACTGTTACAGGAATTTTGATAAAGTAATAAGATAAAAGCTTAGGAAAAAATCTTAAGAGAAAAAATCTAAATTTTGATTGCTGAGTTTTAAATGCAATCGATTTACATTTAACTCTGACAAACTATCTCTACACATCAAGAGGAACTGACTAAAACAGAAGCGTTAACGGAGTGCAATGGCACAATTCAAGCCTATAATTCTCGCTATGGGGGAGCAGGATATCACAAGGATCACAGTTTGAGGCCAGCCTGGACAAAAAGTATCTGCAATCCCATCTCTACCAATGGCCTGTGCCTGACATCAAAGTTATGCAAAGAAGCACAAATAGGAGGATCACAACCTGGGCATAAAAAGAGACCCTATCTCAAAAAACAAAACAAAACAAAACAAAACAAGGGCGGGTGCGGTTGCTCATGTATAGAGCACCTGCCTAATAAAGTGTGAGGCCCTGAGTTCAAACCCCAGAACCGCAAAAGGATTTAATCTCATGTTTTTGGCTTCTACTGCATATATAATAACCCAATACACAAACTTTGAACTATAAATGGAATCTGAGATTCTAACAAAAAGAAATAAATATAAGCCCTACAGTTTTTACTGTTAAAGTATTTGTCTACAATCTAATTCAAGCCCAATTCAGATAAAAAATTAATAACAGGAAAAACGGTAAAAGCAAGAGATACAACTATCTTGAAGAATGTAATGTATACCTCCCTGTGGAGAAAAAAAAAGATGGATCAAGATGCACATTACAGGCCAGGCATGATATTGTACAGCTTTGATCTCAGAGAAGGGTAGACAAGAGGATCATGGCCCAAGGCAAGGCCTAAGCAAACACACGAGAGTCTATCCAAAAAAAAAGATTGGGCATGGCTCAAGTAATACAGTGCCTTCCTAGCAAGTATGAGGCCCTGAGTTCAAACCTCAATATTTAAAAAAAGAAAAAAAAAAGATGTACAATACATATACCCTAACAAAGAAGAATTACTTCAATAGACATTTCTTGAAGGTCTTATCAAAACATCAGGTGATTTCTTTATTTACTTGGCTCAAATATTTCTCATTAGAAATAGAACAAAAGTAAAATGGTTATTAGTACATCTCATTTATACCATATTATAAAGTGGCAAGAAAATGACGAGACAAATGACAATGTCAAATTTTGTAACAACTAAAATGGAAGATAATGAGTAATCCAGCTTAATAAAAAGTCTAAACCTTTGAAAATAAATATGGAAGTTAGAATTGAGAATTTCAGCCAAGAATTAAAAAGTCAAAAGTAGCTAAAGAGTGATCTTGATAATCTCAGATTTTAAGACTACATGCACAAAAATAAAAGTACATTACCAAAGACAAATGTAAAACTTGTTTGGACCCACAAGATATACACAGAGCAGAAATAACAGATATTATGGAAGCAAATACAAACCAGTTCTCCTTGGAGTACACGGTACAATGGTAAGAGATAGAATGAACAACTGAACAGCTCTACTCCTGCTTTCTCCACCTTTTCTATCAAGAAGATTACAATCAACCTGGAGGAAGTAGGGCAGACAACTAAAACTCTGGTCCAGTCAAATCACATCCCAAATACCTAAGATGATGATATTACTACTCAACAGATACCAATACTTTCTAAGAAGTACCTGAAAATTACAAGAAGTCTCAGAAGACTGAGATGGACAGATGCCAGTTTTCTTTAGAAAGAAGAGAAACTTAGTATCTTTAATGAATTAGATTATAAGAAAATTTTATGCACATAAATTAATGGACATACAAAAAGAGAAAAATTAATCATAAGAAGCTACTGAATTGCATTAAAATTAGGCATTCTATAGTAAATAAATTTTTTCTTTTCTGACTGTTTTTCATTCTTACTAAACAATTAATGGATAAATTAAGGAATTCTTATAGATGTAATGCACCAATATTTGAGCAATGTAGTCAAAGTCTGCCTTTACATTTTTGGGGGAGAATACTGAAATATGAACCAGATCAGGCACCATTAACCAGAGGTCCGTGAATGGAATTCAGATAAGAGTTCATGAATGAATGAGAAAAAAAAAATACATCCTTCTTTTTTACTAACTCTTGCTGACATTTAGAATCAACTTCAATTATAAAAGCAACAAAACTACTGTAACTGTACTTCTATTACCTACAGAAGTCACATATTCTTTAACTTTTATGATAAAACATAGTTGTTGAAGATATCTTAAAATATTATTTACCTTGCCACTACTACTTTTAATTTATGGTATTTTTGATCTACTGTTAATTCACGCTATTTTAGTAAAAAATATATTATTATAATCACACATTTGGGGATTTCAGAAATATTCTGAAAATGTCTTTACATAATTCTACCTATTTTATTTGAAGTACTTAAAGCCATTACTTTGAGAAACGATCCCTAGGCTTCACTAAACTCCCAAAGGTAGTCATGACACAACTGCATGTGACATGTTATCATCAATAGGCAGGCACACTAAAATTATTGCATAATTACTTTCAGGTAATTTTCATATTTAAACTTGGATCCCCTCCTCAAGATATCTCATTGTATATATGTGAATATAACAAGATACCAAAAAATCCAAAACTGTTCTGGTCCAAACATTTCAGATCAGGGATACTCAACCTGTACTTACATTTATGCCTAAGTGCTCTAACTCTGAAGCACAATGATTCTTCAAACTTCTGGACTACCTTCATAGAAACTGCATTAAAGAGTAATCATGCAAATCTTTTCCTCATGACAAAATTACAGTGGCATGATCACCAACACATCCCTGCACAGCCAGACATAAGCCCACCATTAAATGGATGGGACAAATAAAATGTCCACCTCACCTGACATGTCTCTGCAAATTTACAAAGAATTTCACTTACATTATCCAACTCACAACATTACTGATTGTAACTACCAATTTTATACACAAGAAAAATACCACTGATATAAAATGATTCTTTTGTCTAATTACAAAAAATAATCAAGAGGGCAAAGCAGAAAACATGCCAATTTTGTAAGTAAAAGTAATTTTCACTTGCTTTGGAAAGGGAAGGAAGGACCCAGAGGCAACAAGGGTAGGAAGAAGTACTGAGAGTAAAGCTTCAGTCAGGTGGCATGCTCCTTCATTTCCTGATTATTTCAACCTGAGTATAATGTTCAGAGGATCTCAGAGCCTCTAACTCAGTCAGTTGAGCATTATAAAGTGCTTTGGGCCAAAAAAGATTAAAAGGTAAATTAGTGACTATAAAAGTAACATTTTACAACTCACTCAAAACTAACAATTCCAACATTCACACTCCACACTTGATCCTGTTTAATTCCATCTGCTCCAATCACCCAGAAGTCAAATACCTAGAAAGACCCAACTACCTGAGGCAGGAATGAGGAGCTCAGTGCTAACACTGCAAAAGGTATTATGGGCTGAATTGTGTTCCCCCAAAATTGTGCCCCAGAATCTCATATGGGACTGTATTTAGAGACAGGGTGTTGAAGATAATTAAATGAGACAAGGAGAGTAGGTCCTAATATGGTATGACTGGTGTCCTCATAAGAAGAGATCAGCACACAAGCAGATACAAAGACCATATGAAGACATAGGGAAAAGGTTAAAACAAACAAACCGGTAATTTTAAAAAAAGGTAACAAAGTAATAACATCTAAGTCAGGGGTAAGAAGGTTAACAATTTATTAAATTTGTATTTTGAGAAAATATGCTGTTATTTCCAGAATGAAAAAAAAAAAGGGAGAACATTTAATTTCCAAATGGTAGAGTATGGGAGAGGAGGGAAGAAAGAATGTCAGAATTTATCTAAAGGAAGGCAAGAAAGAAAAAAAGAATAGGAAAAGCAAATATAAAAGCACAAAACAAGATGTGAGATATAACCCTCAATAAATTAAATGCAAACAGACACAAATAGAAAAATAAAGACTATAATTCTAGAGTGAAAAACCTTCTACTATACGTTACTGACATGACACATCTGAAAATATATAGAGAAAAAGGTATTTTTTAAAAGGAAACAACAATCACCATGCCTAGAAGACCATGCCTGTGAGCTCAGCACTCAGAAGGATGAGACAAGTGGATCTTGAGTTTGAGACCAGCCTGGGTTACATCTCTGTCATGTTGATAGATGATAGATAGATAGATTAGGATGGATGGCAGAGAGAGAGAAAGGAAAAAACCTACCAAATTGTAACAAAAAGATACCTTACAAATCTATACTGATATTGGACCAAAAAAAGTAAAAGGCCCATAAAGGGAAAAAAACTAAGATATTGCTAAAAATACACAGTCAACTTCATATAGATAAAAGATTTGGTTACTAAGAGAAAAAAGTTTATTTCTGTATGCATCTACTACAGCTTCAAAATTTACAAGAGAAAAAAACCGCTGTTAGAGAAACAGAAAAATGTACGTTCAGTGAGGTATTTTTCCATATATTTCTCTAAATAATTATTCCAACATGGTAAAAGGAGGGAAAAAAATCCAATAAAGATGTAGAAAGGTTTAAATATATGACTGAGAAGATATAGGACAGACTTTTCAACATAAATGGAACATTTGTTTAAATATCATATATGGAGCAAGAAAACAAGTCCCAACAAGTTACAAAGCATTAAACTCATACAGATCATCTCTATACTGAAATATCTATTTTCAAACCTCAATTTATAATTTTAAACCTTCCCACAAGGAAATCTCTAAGCCCAAATGGTGACTGTTAAGTTCTGTCAAAAAGGGCAAAACAATATCCAACCTTTCTTCTTCCAGAGAACAAAAAAAAGATGGAGCTTTGATTTTCTGAGACCAATATGGCAAACTCTGAAATTCATTATAAAAGGGAGGAAAATGAGCTGGGCAAGGTGCCCCACACTTAAAATTATAGCTTCTTGGTCGGTGAAGATTGGATCATGGTTCAAGGCCAGTCCTAGCAGAAAGTTCATGAGACTCTATCTCAACCAATAAAAGCTGAGAGTAGTGCTGCACACCTGTCATCCCAGTTACTCAAGAAGCATAAATAAGACGATTGTGATCAAGGACAGCCTAGACAAAAGAAAAAAGGACTGGAGACAAGGCTCAAATGGTAGAGTATCTGCCTAGCAAGCTCATAGCCCTAAGTTTAAATGCCAGTACTGCCAAAACAGACAAAAAGAAAGGAAGATAACAAGATGACAAGCCTGTTATTGTCACAAATGGCAGTTTGAAACCATAAACAAAATTCTTCAATTAACTTAAATGTGATTATTAAAGTTTCTGAAGGTTAAAAAAAATGCTTGTTAGTTTTTATTAAACTGTATCCAGTCCAGAAAATAAATTTAAAATAAACTTTACTAAAATTATTTTAACATAAATAAAATTTCAATATAGCATACAGTATTTAATTCCCCAACATCAATTTACCTGTTGCTGTCTTATCTCGAAATTCTTCAAGTTTTGTCAAAGTTGCTGATGTAAGCTGTGCTAGATGTACCTCTTTTGGAGGTCTGAAGAATTCCACTATACTATTCACTGTCCTCTGTTAAAACAAGCATCATTAACATGAAACACAAACTCAAAGCAAACAGAATTACATTAAAACTTAGTAATATAGAAAATGCTTACTGCATCATATATTATTTCTAAAGGTTCAGCTTCTATGATACACCTTTGAGCAACAGTTTCATCTAATGGATTTATCTCAAATGTAATTTGGAAGAGTGACATATCATCCAATGAAGACAGGAGGTGGGGTTTTTTTGAATTATCTGGTAAGCCAGTAATATGAAATGAATCAATTTTGGTTTCAAATCTGCATGAAAAAGGATAGGACAAAAATTAGAAATGAAAACAATTTTAAAGACTTTTTCAAAATGAAAATGTTAAATAAAAATTAGTGAAGACAATTTCACTTTGCATTTCCTGAAACTCCAGCATATCCATGTAGTAGAAAATATACAATTCCTCTGAATTGACATAGTATATTTCACAAAGAACCATATTCACATGTTCATTTCTATGTAAAAAAAAACATGATAAGCTAATATTTGGTATACTAATAAATCTAAAATTAAAGTAACAAATTCCTATAATGCTTAATCAATGTAAAACTAAAAAGTCATAACTAACACAATTTTATGAGCAATTCCTCTCCTAAGAATAAAAACAAAGAATTAAAAGACAAGCACAGAATCATGTGCCAGTGGCACACATGTAATCCTAGCTACTTGGGAAGCTGAGATTGAGAGGATTACAGTTTGAGAACAATCCAGGAAAAGTCAGGGTGTGGACCTGTATTCCCAATGATGGCAGGAAGTGTAAAGTAGGAAGATGGCAGTCTAGGCTTGCCTGGGCAAAAAGTGAGACTCTATCTCCAAAATAACCAGACCAAAAAGGGCTGGAGGCATAGCTCAAGCAGTAGAGCACTTGCCTTGCAAGTGTGAACCACTGAGTTCGAACCCCAGTACCACAAAAATTAAATAAAAAAAAAAAAAACCTTGGGCAGGAAGTCAGGATTTCTAGAAGAGCTGTATGAGGCAATCAGCAATCCTTTTGCCCAGGGACTCAACCATGAAGGGAAACTGGTGAAAATTAAAGTCTCTGGAAATCAGTCTGAGCACAGTGCAAAAAGAAAAAACATTCAAGAAAATCTACTAAAATTCAGTAAGAACAGAGGGAGTCTGTACCATCAAAGCTATGATCATTTCTCACTCTCAGCCCCATACCACATTACTGAAAGTCTATGCTAGACAGGTGCAGCCATGATGGGGCCCCTCTTCCCTCAGCTCCAAGTCTAAGGTTCAGTTTTATCTCAGAAGGGACAAGTAGCCAGGATTTCTCATCCTCCCTCCCCAGCTCCATATTACAAAAGCTCTATACCAGGCAGGCACTCCAAGAGAACTGGAGTAGAGCTCTGGCCTAGAAACCACATTCAAACATATGAAATGGCAGACCAAGCAGAATCAGAGAAAGAGAGAAAAGGTTAAGGAAGTTCCTCCTGGGACCACACTCACTCCATAAACACAAAAGCCTATATGTATACACCAAGATGCACCCACTAAGGAAAAATAACAACCTTTTTTTTTTTCTTCTTTTCTTTTTTTGGCAGCAGTGGGGTTTCGACTCAGGGCCTCATGCTTGCTAGGCAGGCACTTTACCACCTGAGCCACCTCCAGCCCACTAAGGAAAAATTAGAGCAAGACTATAGCAAGACTTCGTATCAGGCTCAAGATGTGTTAAAGGACCACTATTACCAGTCATGCAAGAACAAATTATTCCAATCTAGAGATGACTCCTATTAGGAGTAATAAATTCACTCAAAAACTGTCCAGAAACCTGGGTACGTGCACAGATGTGTGCCACTTCAGAAGCAGAGAAGGAACTCAAGAGCTACTAGGCCCTGGATGAACACAGACAAAACTGTAAATTCCGTGAACTGTGAAAGCAGCTTCCAACTCATACAGAGATCTAATGGTAGGCCTGAAAATCTTTCTGGTCCAGAGATCTCAGCACAACCTTTGACTAGTAAATAGCTTATGCTCACACAGAGACAACCTCTAGGAGGGCAGGCTAAAAGATAAAGATTGGGGGAAAAAATCAGCAGTGACATCAGAGTTTGCATCCCATCGTGATTATAAAATGTTCCATTTGTGTCTCCTATACCCATATAACCACTCATTATTTTTCACTTTCAATACAGTGTTTAATAAACTACATGAACTATTCAACACTTTATTATAAAACAGGCTTATGTTATTTTAGACTGTTCTGCCCAACTATAGGCTAACATTAAGTGCTTGAAGCATGTCTAGAATAGGCTAGGATAAGCTATGTTTAGTAGGTTAAGTATAGTAAATGAGTTTTCAAGTGTAGTTATTTTTAACATGATAGGCTTATCGAGACCCATCATAAGTCAAGGAGCATCTGTATTAAAAAAGAAAAACATTAGGGCATCAATGGCTTATACCTGTAATGCTAGCTACTCAGGAGACAGAGATCAGGAAGATCAAAGCCAGGCTGGGCAAAAAGTTCACAAGACCCTACCTTGAAAAAACTCATCACAAAAATGAACTGGTGGAGTGACTAAAGATCTACGCCCTGAGTTCAAACCCCTGTACCACAGAAAAAAGAAAGAAAGAAAAATAGAGCCAGGTATGATGGCACACATCCATAATCCCAGCCACTCAGGAGGTAGAAACAAGAAAATCATGAGTTCAAGGCCAACCCAGGCAAAGTTAGCAAGATAGTACATCAAAAAAGAAAAGAAACAAAACAACAACAAAACCCACAGAAAAGAAAAGAAAAAGTCATCACTTGGACTTCATGAAGGATCAGTTTCAGGACCACCCACAGATACCAAAATCTTCAGATACTCAAGTCTTTCCTTATAAAATGGCATAGTGTTTGCATATGACCTACACATATCCTTCTGTATGCTTAAAATCTAGATTTCTTATAATACCTAGTATAACATAAATGCAACATAGTTATTATAGTGTATTACTTAGGAAATAATCACATTTTAAATGCATAAAAACATGTTATACATATATACCATTTTTTAAACAATATTTTTGGTTGAATCTATAAATGTGGAACGCTGGAGATGGAGGGCCTATTATATACCAAATCAACAACTTCATTTATCACATTAAGGAACTAGAAAAAGAAAAACCAAATTTCTTCAGAAGGAATAAAAATAATACAGATTAGAGACAAAACAGAGAGGACAAAAACAGAGAATGAAAGAAGTCAAAGTTGCTACTTTGAAAGGATCAACATACTTAAGCTTTTATTAAACTAAGCAAAAAAGGAGGGAAGATACAAATAGCTAAAATCAGAAATGAAAGTGGATGCACTGCTACAGAACTGAGAGAAATAAAAAAGACTATAAGAGAATATTGCAAAAAATAGTACACCCACAAAATAGGTGCATAAATGAAATGAACAAATTCCTAGAAACATAAATTACAGATACTGATTTTAGAGGAAACAGAAAATTAGACAACTAATAAGGAGTAATGTAACAAGGAAGAGGGCCAGAAAAGAAATAAGCAAGTCTGTGTCCTGATTATGCAGCGGTGGCGGGGAGGGAGGGATAGCATAGCAGAGAGATAAAACTTAAAGCATCTAAATGTGAAGAAGATCACATAGCACTGGGAGTGAAGTAGTCAACAGAGATGCATACAACCATATATGGGTTAAACTTTGCTTTGCTTTTTGGCTCTGTAACCTGCTTGCAAGGGTATATAAGGTTAGCCCCTTTGTTCTCAGAGCTCAGCCTTTGGATGGGAATTGCTGAGCTGCTGCCAACACACTAATAAATACTGCTTCCTAAAAAGCCTTGGTGTCCCGTTTCCCTGCTTGAATATCCTGTAACAGTAAAACCTTACTATTACTTTAAAAAACCTATTAACTAAAACTTACTATAGCATACAGATTTATTTATAAGCTTTATAGATCTTACTAATAAAACCTGTAACTAGTATGAAGTAAATCAGTAATCAGAAATTCCTCAAAAAAGAAGAGTCTAGAACCCACAAGGGAATCATAAACTGAGTTTAAGAGGTAATGCTATAAAACTCTTACAAGATATAGAGTAACATCTAACATATATTCATGCCCTTGACTTTGGCAAAGAGTTCATAGATATGCCAAAATGCACATGCAACAAATTAAACATAAAGTGGGAATTGATCAAAATTAAAAATATTGATGCTTAAAAGGAGAGTGAGTTTTAAGACACGGTCTTTCCCTGTTGCCCAGGCCTGCCTCAGCCTCAGTCTTGAGACTGCAGACATATACCATCAACCCTGGCAAAGCCCTGAGTTTCACCTCAAGTATTGCAAAATATGAGAGAGAGAGAGAGAGAGAGAGAGATGAGAGACTGAGACTCGTATGCAGAATATATAAAAAACTCTCATAACTCAATAAAAAGATATCCCAATTTTTAAAGATCTGGGTAAGAACTTAATGGACATTTCTCTAAAGAACATATGTAGACAAAATGGTAAGACAGGAACAGATGTCAAACATCATCAACCATCAGAGAAATGAAAAATCAAACCCATGATGAGATACCACTTTAGACCAACTGAGATGGCTATAATCAAAAGGACACATAATAAGTAACAGGAGCGGGTAAGGACACAGAGAAACTGGAAATCTTGTACACTGATGTGAGGAATGTGAAATGGTGCAGCTGCTTTGGGAAATACTCTGGCAGTTCCTCAAAAAGTTGTAAGAGTTAACATATGAGGCAACAACTCCACTCCTAGGTGTATAGCAAGACATTTGAAATCTACAACCAAGTAAAATCCTGTCCATGAATATTTATAGCAGCATTCGCAACAGCAGCCCAAATATCCACTCATCAATGATTGAACAACAAAATGAGGTATACCCATACAATGGATTATCATTAGGCAATAAAAAAGAATGAACTATAAATTCATGCTACAACATGAATAAACCTGTAAAAACATGATGCTAAGTGAAAAAAAATCAAACAGAAAAGGCAATGCATTGTATGATTTCAGTAATATGAAATGAACAGAACAGACAATTCTTACAAGTAGGAAGCAAACTGTTGTTTCCAGAGGCTAGGGAAAGAGAGCACTAGGGAATGACTGCTAATAGATACAGAAGTTTCTTTTTGAAATGTCCTGGAATTAGATGGTGTAGTAGTTATGCACCTTTGTACATATACCAATGTGAAATTGTTATATATAATACAGTTGTGAAGAACCAACATACTGTATACTTTGAGTGGATAAACTTATAGGTATGTGAATTATATCGCAAAAAGAAAAAAAAACTTTTTAAAAACAAACATAAAATAAATTTGGGCACTGTAGTATATGGCTGCAATTTCAGCACCTGGGACACTGAGGCAGGAGGATTTCAAGACTGAGACCAGTCTACAGCTACACAGCAAGACTCAGTGAAAAGGAAAGAAAGGAAGTAAAAGGAGGGAAGGGCAGGGGAGGGGAGGGAGAGACAAAAGGTAAAATAAAGGCATTCCAAGATTAAAAACTACACTGTTGTTTATTTTTGTATGGTGCAACTGCTGACTATTTTTGCATTTTTCTGTAGTGTTCTTTTACATTTCATCAATATATAGTGTTCTACTGAACATGTATAATTAACACATTAATAATTGTAAAAATATACATTATTGGAAAAAAAATCTGTTCCCAAAAACACAAGAGAGTATGTTAAACCACAGTATGCTTTTCAAGACTGAAAGACTATAACCTAAACTTTAACCTCATAGTGAAATGTTTTTCTTTTAAGAAACAGATTGAGTATCCCATATCTGAAATGCCTGGGACTACAGGTACTTCTGATTGCGAACTTCTTCAGACTTTGCATTTGCATACATATCTTGCATGGCATCTTGGGAATGGGATGCAAGACTAAATGTGAAAATTATTTATATTTCATTTATAGCCTAGAGCTAACTTTATGCACTGTTTTTAATAAGCCTGTGTTTTGACTACAGCCCATCACATAAGGTCAGTTGCATAATTTTTCCACTAGTAACATTATGTCCGAGGGTCAAAAAGTTGCAGAGCTTGAAGCAATCAAGGTTTCAGATTTTTAGATTAGGGATGTTAAACCTGTTTTAAAAAAAAAATTAATACTTACTTTATTGCCTGTGCTCCTGGTCTTTGTATAATCAAAGTGCTAAATTCTTCTACTACAATGTCTATCAGCTCAGGTTTTTGGTGATTTTCTCTTAGAACAATAGACATACTTTTCAAGTGAACATAAAGCTTCATGGCTTCAAACTACGGAATATCCAGAAGAATAAAATGGAAAACAAAAAAAAAAAGCATATATAAACACAACAAATATCTTATATAATTCATTCATTTCAAAAACCACAAAATACTTTAAAAACCACTCTTTAGCAATTAAAGTACCACCACATTTACACCAAACAAAAAAGGACAACTTTCATTCCTACTTTAGAAATTAAAATAAATACAATATTTGTGAACCCAAAAAGATTACAGGAAAATCAGCAGCAGGTATTTATGAAAGTATTGAAACAGGTACAACTCATATTAAGCCTGGCAGTATTAGGCAAGAAAATATCTTACTGTTTTTGGCAAGGTCGGGTCAACTGCAGTTTCACTATAGCCGATTGCTTCATAGAGTAAAGTTTTTTCTTCAGGTGTAAGCATTTCTTCAAGAACTATAAATCATAAATAAGTGCTTTGTGTTCTTAACCCGTAATAATATAAAACTAACAGAGTGTTTGGTGGCCTTTATAAACAAAATTCTAGTTTTACTTTTTGTAATACTTTTTAAGAACCAATAAATACTAGGCTAACACTGACAATTTTAGAAATTATTTTCCAAAAACAGAAATTACTAAACATAAATTTGTTAATACCAATTTCTAAATGTCTGTACTAAGCAAGAGAATTATATTATATTAAGCAACATGTAGCATACGAAGTAGGTAGAGGTAGTATAATTTTCTCCCAATTTATAAATGATAAAACAGAGGGTCAGAATGCTTAATTAACTTGCCAGGGTCATACTGTCAACAAATATAAGATATATTTCTAAATTTCAAAACCTCTGAAGCTAGGATCTTATTGAACATCTGGGTAAGAATTAAAAATCTTAGGTAGGCCCACTGGCATGTGCTTGTAATCTCAGTTACCTAGGAGGCTGAGGTGGGAGGATAGCAAGTCAAGCCCAGTTATGCCAACACATTGAGATCCCATTTCAAAAAAAACAAAATCCTATTCATTTAAAAATAGATAAGGAACTGGGGGCAGTGGACTCATGTCTGTAATCCTAGCTACTTGAGATACTGAGGATGGTGGTTCAAACCCAACCTGAGCAAAAAGTTCCTGAACCCCCCCTCCCCCCAATCTCAACCAACTGCTGGGCATTATGATACACACCTGTCATCTCATCAATGGTAAGAATCATAAAAGAGAAGGATCAGAGTCCACACTGGCTTGGGCAAAAAGTTAAGACCCTCTCTCCAAGATAACCAATGCAAAAAGGGCTGGTGACACAGCTTAAGCAGGCACAAAGTCCTGTATTCAAAAAAAAAAAAAAAAAAACCCCAGTTCCAGTTCCATCCAAAAAAAGTTAAGGGCTTTGGAGCATAGCTCGGTGGTCCACTGCATACTTTAGCATGACACAAGGCCCTGGACTCAATTCCCAGCACCCCGAAACAAACAAGCAAATATCAAATTCTTTCTAAGAAACAATATGATAAAAATTTATAATGGCTTAGAACATTCTGCAATTTTTATTTACCTTTTACTATGACATATGCATTCACTAAATTTTCAGGGTATGAAAATCTTTTGTAAACATAAGTAAGATTTTAAAAAGTTATTTAACGTTTAAAAATGCTTTCGGGGCTCAGTGGCATGGCTCAAGTGGTCAGGCACCTGCCTAGTAAGCAAAAGACCTTGAGTTCAAACCCTAGTACTGACTGCCAAAAAGAAAAAGAAAAAAGCCTTCAGCAATTTTATAATTTTGATAATAATAAATCTAAACTACATATCATTAGGTATATACTTATCTCAATTAGAAAATTTTCTGAAAAACTTTATTTGCATACCTCAAGATTGACTACTATATCATAAAAATGAAATGGACATACTTCCAGGTTTGACATCTGCTTGTTGTTTAGTAGTATTTGACTCTGACCAAGTCCACAGCCAGCCAAACCATCCTTTATTATCCTCTGGATCTTTTACTCCTTCTTTGTAAATCTTGTATCCAGCTTTCTTTACCTAAAATGAATAAATTTTCAAGTAGATGACAATTACCTTTTTTTTAGCAATGAAAGAAATGGAAGCATGGTATTTCCAAAAAATATTTGAGTAAATGAATGTAAACAATACATACACTAACAACAGAACACAGTAAATACATTTGCTAAGCATTAGAACTTTGAATGACCACATGGTTCTCCTTACTGTCTTACAAGACATGGCAATGGGGTGGAGGAATAAGCATTGGCTTTTCACATTCACATGAACTCTGAAATTTTATAAGCACAATTATTATATATGCTTATAATTATTTACAAAGGATTATTCCCATATAAATCTGCCTGATTTAAATGCATGTGATAAAATATCAAATCAAATATTCTTAGGCCTCAAAAAAAGCAAATTTGATCCCTTTTAAGAAAACAGTATCTTGCAGCACAATACTGATAGCCTTTGTAACATCCACATGGAATTTAGATTTATTCCTACTAATTGAAAGATAATGTAAAGTTACCTCAACTTCTGCCTGCTGTCTAGCTATGGTTATATTGAAGACATCCAAGGTTTTTTCCAACTCCTAAAAATATAAACAAAAATGTCTTAACTTTAAATAAACAATTTCACATAAATAACTTTAGTATATAATCTACCAAATTGCTATACTTAAAAAAAAGAAGAGAGACATAATAGGAAGCAGAAAACAGAAGATCCATCAATGTATCTCTCACATTCTGTGAGGCTAGCTTGGAAAGTGATGTAAGAGAGGAACTTACAGAAATACATATCATGCATGTAAGTTACATACGCTATACAACTGCAGACACATACTAAAAGATACCTTACATGTGTGGCTTAAAAGGACTTTTATCTGGATCTTAACTACAGCTACGGATAAACATATCAGTGTCATTTTCAACTAAATATATAATCCTAAATCCTTCATACATCATTAGGATCATTCAACTAGGTCTAGAGATGCTTAAAACTTGTTTAAAGTGGTTTTAACTTTCACAGTTTCAAAGTTATTGGTATTGAAATAAACTGAGATAAGTTAAATCTTTCATCACAGGTATTTATTCCCAGAACCTAAACTATTTCTTCCTCCAAGAGAAGCAAACAGCACTTAGCTTTAATCTAAAAACAACCTAACTCAGTATTCTACTATCCAGCTGACTCAGAGGATTCAGGTTAAGATCCCTAACTAAGGATATCTGAAACCACCCAATAAGCCTTTAAAAACTCCTATTTGCTCTATGTCTTCAGAAAGTCTTTCACCTTCAAAATCAAAGTAAAAATCTTTAGTGACTTTCTAACTGTAAGTTTTTAATTGCAAATCCACTCTAGATTCAGAACGGTTACATACAGGCTGGTGATGTGGCTCAAGTGCCAGAGCGCGTGTCTAGCAAACATGAGGCCTTGAGTTCAAACCCCACTCCCACAAAAAAAAAAAAAAAAAAAACCCAATAGTTACATAATTTCAACAATCTAACATCCCTTAATCTCTCTAAACTGTACTTCACTCACCTGTGAAATAGTCCTTTTAGAATATGCCCCAATACTAAAAGATAAGAATATAATACTATCAAGACAGATAATTATATATAAAGATGCTGATAAGGACTACAGCTACAGGAATTAAGAGAAAAAGATCTGTGTAAACAGGAAAATTCAAGGAAGTTCATGTAAGAGAAGGGACTTAAGAATAACTTCATGTGGTGTAGACTTGGGATAGGAAGAGAGGAAAGACATATGGCTTATACGAGCACAGGGATGTCTACTTATTTAACACATAGTCAGACAGTAACAGCAGAAATGCAGTTATGCCACATAATGTACAGCTTTGAAATCAATATAGAGAAGTTTGGAAATAATGTAGAAAACACTTAGGCTTTTGAGGCAGAAAAAGACATAAAATGAGGCTTCACATTACTATATACATAACCCAAATCCCTTCAGATTAAAAATAATTTCATAAATTTTAAAAGCTCACTGGAGAATTTCACTAGATCTTATGCTACTCAACTAAAGAATAGAGCACAAAAATGTCTAAATAAAAGAGACAACATGATCAGTAAAAAAAATACAGTGAATTATTTAGAAGTATTAGGTACTGAAGACTGAGGAGTTGTGTAGAGCAATAATACTAACCTCTAAAGCTGTGAGAATTTCAACAGATGGCTTCTTATTTGTTAACTTTTTTTTATACAGCTCTTTATATTGTTTCACTTTTTGTCTATGTTCACTAATATGCTTCCAGGACCACATCCGTAAACTGGGGCAAACATTTACTTCAAGAATACCATGTATAGCATAAGCCCACCTAGTTAAAAAACAAAAAGAAAATCCATACTTAACACCCTTGAATCAACAGTATAAAAGGTGATATTGCTCCTACTCTGATATATGTAACTAGAATACAGAGACTATGAAAATAGTATGTTATCTAAGCACTTGCTTTCTCCCAACCCTATTTATATTAACGATCCATGAATTATTAATCATACCTCTTTCCAAAGTGAAAATAGGCAGAATAATTCAATTTTGTTTAAAAGAATGTAACTTTATATAACTATGAAAGCATTAACATTTTAATCAGTTGAATAATAATTTCTAAAAGCTAGAATATAGCTCTTAAAATGGAATTACAAGACTTTTAAATTCTAAAATGGAGTTATACTGCAAAGACTCCCACAATCTCTTCAAGTTTTAAAACATAATTTGGTGAATCGGATAAGGAAGTCAGAAAAAACAAAAAGACACCGCTAGAAAACAAATCAAGCAACAATTTTTTAATAATTTCCAAAATACTGATCCATCTACAGTAAATAAAAACTATGGTTTTTAGCATCTCCAGTTGTAAGTTCTGTTGGTAAAGAATCCCTTAAGCCTTTGAGTCTATTTATTAGCATACATAATAAGCAAAAGGAGCCACATCTATTTCATTCCACAAATCACAGTTTTAGAACTTAAAGTATATCTTGAAGAATTATTGTGAAATTCAAGAAACTTACTTTTCTGCCATATTTTTTAAATATTTATTTTAAAAAAAGGCATTTTACCATTCCTTGGCATGGTAGTGAAGGGGCACATCAGGTTTGAATTTCCTATATGGCAGATTTTGTACCATCATATCGACTGATTGAAGAAGTTCCATAATACTGAAATACTAAAGAAAAGGAAAATTAAAGCTCTTAAATGTTACAGGACTTTTAATTATTGAAGATAAAAGTTAATTACCAACTTTTTAAGGAAATGCAACCATGTAACCATATATTTTAGAGAAACATAACCTTAGTTTTGCTTTTATCAAACAGTAACAAATTTTAACTCACAATTTAAAATTTCAACAAAAAAAAAGTCACCTGTAGTTTATTTAGTTCAATTGCTATATTATGTAACTCAATATCCAAATTTATTTTGGGGTCAGAAAAGTCAAAATCTGATCGGCGATTCATCTGAAGTTTGGCATTAGCAGATATGGGGCGAAATACTGGAAAATAACACAAATTTTAAAAATTAGAGTTATACTTGAAGTCTCAAGGCACTAAAGACAGCAAACTGAAAATAGTGATCTTCTTTTTTATACCCTTTCTACAGCTCCTCAATGTCCACACTGCCATCATTTAGTTAGATGAACTGTTCCTTATTCAGTGGAGAAGATTCTTTTATCTCTTTCTTACTTATAATTCATACTGACTTCTGCAAATACAATAAAAGCTAACTGAATTCCCCCTCAAAACACCAATATAAGGCTGGGGATATGACTCAAGTGGGAGAATGCCTGCCTAACAAGCACCAGACCCTGAGTTCAAAACCCCAGTACCACCAACACACACACACACACACACACACACCCACTAATATAACCCTTAAAAGAACTTTCTCTATAAGAAAAACAGTCCAACAAAATAGTTTTAGTACAAGTACAGTTTTAGAGAATAAATATCAGAAATGCCAAGAGGAAAAAGATTATATTTAATGTAGACTTTCATTTTATGATTATAATTTCTGATGTTCTGGGGTTAGTCATGGTGGTGTACAACTGTAACTTCAGCTGTTCAAGAGTTGGAAGTAAGAGAGTCACAGTCAGTCCAAGGCCAGCCTGGGCAACACTGGGAAACTCTATCTAAAAACAAAATGAAAAAGCAAAGGGGCTGGGAACATGGCTCAAGTGGTAGAGCATTTGCTCTTGCATATCACTGAGTTTAATCCCCAGTACCACCAAAAAAGAGAAAAGAAAATGAAAAAAATCCTGAAGTTCTGTTCAATTTCTCTGCATACACCGATTCCTCCTTTCCGTTTATGAAAGGAGTGGGGAAAGAAGATGATTACAAGATTACCTGTTTGGCTCAGCTCTTAGTGCCAAAACCAATGAGGAACACAGAGACGGACCAGTAATGGCAGAATCTAGACGGAGATCATCTATTAAATTATAAGCTACTTTGCATACAAAGATAATCATCCCTAAGGCTTAGCACCTGATTTTTTGCACATTAGGCATCGAAGAATATTTATCTGAATACAAATAAATACTTAAAGACTGTACCTACAATTCATTGGTCTGCTACCTTTTCTCTAACCTTCATCTCTGCTTCATGTCCTCAGTTCCATCCTTACCCTGCTAAAAAGCTATTACCAGTTATTTTAGTTGTTACTGATTTTTAAGACCTATTTTATCTTTTTAGTTTACTTTTGACTGATACATAAGAACATAAAAGATACACACGCTAATAGGATGCCATGTGTTGTCTTGATACACATATATATTGCATAATGTTTATATCAGGTCAATCATACCTATCTCCTCAAATACTTCTTTATGGTGAAAATTTTTGAAATACGTAATAAAATGGTGTTAATCTATAGACCACCTGGCTATGCTATGGCACAACAGAACTTTTTGCTTCTGTACACTGTTACTCAGCACCCGTGGATCAACCTTTCCCTGTTCTTCCATCCACACTACTCTCCCATCATCAGTTATTTTCATCATTCATCCTTAACTCCTTTATCCTTACTTCATCAGTACTTGCTCAGCAAAGCCCATTTACTCCACACCTGCATCTAACATCTGAATGTGACTGGAAAACATCAGTCATACTCCTTGGTCTTGCTTTAATGCTGGAAATCCCAAGTGGATCCTTAATGCAGCTGAGGGATCACACAACATTCCTTGTGTCCAGGAATTGGCCAAATCCATGCCACAGCCCGTTTTTGTATGACTAGTTATCCAAGAGTGACTTTTACACTTTTAAAGGTTTAAAAGAAACAATGACATATACATGTCGGAGACTATACAGGGCCTGCAAAATGTAAAATATTTAATTTACTATGTGTGCCTTTGCTATGTGCCCAATCCCTACGCCAGCTCAATGTTGCAAACTTTAGTATTCATCAGAATCAGTTAGAGAACTTGTTATATCAAATATTGAACTTCATCCCCAACAGTTCGGATTCAGAAGACCCAGGATAGGTCATAGAAACATGTATTTCTAACACGTTCCCAAGTAATGCTGATGTTGCTAATTTGAATCATACTTTGAGAACACTGCCTTACTCAAATTCACTCTCTTACTTACAAAACTATTTCATAGTCCCTTCTACCCACAAAACAACCTTCAACACCTGAGAGGGAGAAAAGGAAAGAGACGGAAGGAGGCAAGAAAAGAAAGCAAGCTCTGAAGAGAAATTCCATAAGCTCCTATTAATGTACCTACTCACCTAGCCATGACTTCTCTCTTATAACTAAACTCTGTCCTATAGATAAACTGAGCACGCTCCTACCTCTAGGTAAAACTCTTCACTTGTGCACCAGATTCCAATTCCTTTCAAATTATATCAGTCCAGAAATTCTCCCATCCCTCCTGCATCACTCATTTTCCATGTTCTACTGGATCATTCCTACCTCAGCCCATTAAAAAAAAGTTACTTCTCCTGTTAAACAGAAAAGAAAGAAAAGAGGGAGGGAAGGGAGAAGGGAAGGAAAGAAAGAGGTAGAGACTAACAGACAGACCTCCTTCAGTCCCTTGCCCTCCCTAACAGGGATGCCAACTATCAATTTATTGCCTCTGAGCTCCAAATTCACCTTTATTGCCTGTTCTGAAAAATGGTGTTAGGCTCTTTAAATATTTTTTTTCCTTTATCAGCTATTATATGTAAAGCTTTATCAGTAGAAACCACTGAAGGGACACTGCAAGAAGAAATAGTTACATTGCCTGGTTCCAGTATGCTCATACAAAAGGCTTCTGAAGAGACAGGATTAACACCTAGGTTCTGTAGAACAGGTGGTTTCTCCAGAGTTTGGCTCCTACAGCATGAAGGTCATCTTTAGCACAGCCTTTCACAGTGTACAGCAGCTAACAGCAGCCAGCACACAGCAACTTCCCCCAGCACCCTGCTATGCTCTATAGAGGAACATATGCAGTGAGACACCACTCCAAAGGGCACCATTCACTAGAGGACAAATTTCCAAAACATTACAGATCATGAGTTTTTGCTAGCACAACACTACAGAGAATTTCTCAATGAGCGATGGGCAAGTTTTCTTCAACAAAGTCTCAATCTCAGTCGTGAGGAAGAGGAGCTTCTTTAGGTACTCTGTATCTTAACCCTAGGGTAGGGACGGTTCCTTTCATCTACTATTCCTATATTCTTTAGCATCTGCTCTGTTATTAGTCAATCCTGTTACTCAAATTCCCTTATACAGTAATTCTTTATATAAACTTTCTCTAACCAAATTACTATAAAATTCTCTTTCCTCACAGACTGTGACTCAAACTGTATCAAATGACTACAGGGCAAAGCAGAAGTCAAAACCAAAGTAAAAGATTTAAGAATTATCGCCATACAACATAACTCATCCTTTCTCAGTATTTCCTATGAGGAAAGAATTAGCAAACTGAAATCAAATTCAAAACAATGAAAATAATATTTTAAAAGTGGGCTCAAGGGGCTGGGGATGTAACTCAGTTGTAGATTTATTGCCTAAAATGCAAGAGATCCTGGTTTCAATCCCCAACACTGAAAAAAGAAAGCAAAAAATAAGGTATCGACACAAGGAGAGCCATTTGAAGAAATTAATAAAAGGTTATCATATAGATACAATAATACAGAAAGTATTACTAAAGTCAAGAAAAGTAATACTTTCAGGAAGGATATTCTATAGGTAATGACATCAGGCAGTAAAATTCAAGAACATAGTTGAATACCACCAATTTATTGTGTGCTCTTCAAGGACAAAGAAACATTACCCCTTTCCTTGGTGTAGTTTAGTAACTTGTTTCTCATATTAAAAGTAGTATGTATTCATTAGAAAATTTGGAAAACAGAAAAAAGTGTGAAGAAAAAAATTTTAACTGCACATTTGGCAAACAATAAGATCATGGTACTACTAATGCTATACCAGCTAGCTTTATTATTTCACTTACCATTTCAAATTGTCTTCAAAAAAATAAGGTACTTTTGCTTTTGCATATATATCATAAATATACTTAACTACGTAAGAGAATGTAACAAAATAATTCAGTGGTATTACCAGTGTTAATATAAAATCTGTACTCATTAATTACATTTTTATTTTATGAAACACACTTACCAAAATCATACCCTCCTGGAATAATATTTTCATTGACAATGCCATCCTTCAAGTTGTACTATTATAAAAGACAAATTGCTGTTATTTACATTCATACCAATACACCTTAATCCTACAAAATTCTATTATCTGCAAGAGAAAAACAATTCAAAGCAATTTAAAAAAATAATTCAAACTTAAGAGGACTTAGAGCAAAATATTAAAAGTGCATAAATAGTATATCATTAAACTACTTAAAAGAATGCTCTATGAGCTACTAAGATGTGCGTGTGTGTGTGTGTATGTGTATGCGTGCACATACATGTTCATGCAATTCACCTATTTTTGTAACTTATAATGGATTTTTCCTAAAAAACGATAATGGCTCTAATGTTAGATTATTGACACTGAATTACATCTTTTAGAAAATATGGTATCAATATACATATATACAAGTCCAAAGAATTTACTTACCAAAGATTCATTATAATCATTAAGATAATACATCTGAGACTTCACGTTCCAATAGGCAAAAAGATTATCCAATCGGATTAACTGAAAATAAATCAAATTTATTACATCTCAGGTTTTTGTGAAGCATTTCAAACTAATCTATTTTCAGAAGTCTCAAATAATTAGGTGAGCCACATCACAGAGTTAAGAAAATAAACATAATTACGTATGTTATCATTTGTCTAAAAGTCTCTAAGTCCATGAGTATTTACTTTACCTTCCGAACTAGTTTCTCAGTTTCATCATGTAAACATGGAACCCAGTTTTGATCAGTTGTCTGAAAAGGAAGAAAAGAACAGCTGCAAAAAGGTCATTACATTTAAAATGGCAGAGTGATAGGTCATTATTTATCATACCCTAAAACCAATTTCCCATGAAAATGCCTTGAAAACATATCATTCATTCAGAGACTACTGGCTGACCACAAGAAAATCTCTGCCTTCAAGGAACATGCTGGTGTTCAAAAAAAATCAAAAAGAACTGGGCTTTGTAGTGCATGCATATAATTCCAGGTAACCAGCAGGCAAAGACAGGAAGATCATGGTTGGAAGTCAGCCCTGTCAAAGAAGCTCTCTGAAAATCAAACTAAAAACAAAATGACTAGGGTCTTAGTAGAGAAAACATGGCAGAACATCAAACTCAGGGCATGTGAGATAAAATAATGAGTGACCTATTAATATAAAAAACTTATAGAAATGGATCCCTAAAAATATTGTCTTATGATTAATTAATATTCAGCATGAATAGAAATTGTTAATTTTAAGGTCAGAAGGAAACGTGATTCAGAGTAGGAATAGCTAGTACAAAGACTCAAAGATATGCAAGTATGATATGTTCAGGGAACTGGAGTAGCTCAGTATGGTCAGAGAAAAAAAGTAAAACAAAAGAAGAGAGGCAAAAGCAGGTTATGTTACCTAGGTTCCCATTACAAAGGTTTTATAAACCATGTAATACAAAACAACTACAGATTATATTCTAAGAACAATCAAAAGTCACTGAGAGAGAACCAAAACACTTTATTTTTTTTTATCTTTAGTTCTTTTTTTTTTTCATTTTTCTTTTATTATTCATATTGCATACAAGGATTGGTTCATTTCTCCCCACTGCCCCCACCCCCTCCCTCACCACCCACTCCGCCCCCTCCCTCTCCCCCCCCTCAATACCCAGCAGAAACTATTTTGCCCTTATTAATTTTGTTGTAGAGAGCAGTATAAGCAATAATAGAAGAACCAAGGGTTTTGCTGGTTGAAATAAGGATAGCTATTACAGGGCATTGACTCACATTGATTTCCTGTGCGTGGGTATACCTTCTAGGTTAATTCTTTTTGATCTAACCTTTTCTCTAGTACCTGTTCCCCTTTTCCTATTGGCCTCAGTTGCTTTAAGGTATCTGCTTTAGTTTCTCTGCGTTACAAAACACTTTTAAAAAAAAAAAAAAACAACACTGCAGCATAAATTAACCTGACCTTTTTTTTT